CATTGAAGATTTTATGTTTTGCACTCCTCCTGGACAAGTTAACCCATAAATTCAAATTTCGTGTGTCGAATTGTCCACGAGGAGTCNAAAATCCAAAATCGATCAAAAGTCTCGAATAGTCGAATTTCAACGATTTTTAGTCATTTTTAAAAGGGAAATTTTAAGTTTTCAACTTTTTTTTCATGTTTTCAGTACAAAAAAAGGAACAAAAAGGGATGTATTTCAAAAATCAAAAATAAAAGGAATTTCCAAAAGTTTTATGAATGCAAAGTTTTTAATTTATCTGTTTTACGATTTCCCAAGTTTTTAAAGTGATCAGAAACTTGAGATCCATGCTCCAGACTTCTGAAAATGATCAAAATGGCCGAAAATGAACTGAAAAATTGATTTTTGTACATCTTATTGGTACTGTATCTGCTCATGACCCCAAATATTTTGTGCACCTCTTAATGACGTGGAACACATCAAAAAACGTGTGGAACTCGACACAAATTGGGGGAAACCTTGTCTCTTCTTCTCGCCTCTTTCATCTCCTTTCGCCGTTTTTTAAACGAGATCGAATTTCGAATTCCCGCAAAAAAGAGACAGAGTTAACTGCCAACAAAGTTCAAATTGCTCATTTTTGTTGAGCAAGGAGAACTCATTTTTTGAATGATGATGCACTTGTCAAGAAATATGAGTTTTGAACTTTTTTCGCTTTGAAATCCATCTCTACTTCACCTGAAGATGTGAGAATAGGGCTCAAATTACACATTCTTGGTTATCATAGTTATTTTTTTGAAAACTGTGATTTTTGATTTTGAATGTTTGAAAATTTGAGAATCTGAAAGTTACAGATTCTTAAATTGGAATATCCGGAATCCTGAGATTCTGAAATTCTGAAATTCAGATCATCTGAGATTCTGAGATTTCGAAATTCTGAAATTCTTAGTTTCTGAGATTCTGAGATTCCGAGATACTGAGATTCTGAAATTTTGAGATTCTGAGAATGAGAGAATGGAGATTTTGAGATTCTGAGATTATTAAATTTTTAAATGCTGAAGTTTTAAAATTTTGGAACTTCAAATTTCGAGAGATTCAGATCCTAATTTATTTCCATAACCTTCGGATTTTTTTTCAAAATCCAAATTCAAAATTTTTCAAACTACCCTTTTTCACAAATTGTCCCATCAGCTGATTTATTTTACTTCAAAACGATCAAGTTCTTCTAGATAAACATCTCAAAAAATATTTTGAGATTTTAATCTTTTATTTTTATTTTTTGCAAAAGACCCCCCAAGTTTCCCCCATCTTCCTTTAACTTTCAACTTCCAGGCTAGTAATCTTAGTTCTTTCAAAAGATATCAAAAACCTGTCAATTGATAAAATGTTTATCGTAATCTCAGTAACATTTGATCCTTTGACTACTTTTTGATTTTACAGAAAGCGAGATATATCGGTTTAAAGTTAACAATTGGGGTGGCCGAGCTGGAGCAACTTTGAGCCATCTTCTTTTGAAAGATATCAAAAAGTAATCAACTAATAAATTGTTTATCATAATATCATTACGATTTTATCCGTTGATCACTTTTTGATATCTTGCACAGGAACCGAGATATATTGGCACAAAGGTGGATATCATTTTGGACCAGAAGGATATTCTAAACGAACGAATAACTGGAAAGTTTTCGCATTTGGAAGAGATAAAAACACAAAGAGTGAAAGTATAAATGACATGAAATCAGCGGCATCTCATCATCCATCTTTTTTTTTGGCGTTTTTCCAAAGTCTGTAAACATAATTGTAGTGGGAAAATGGGAAAAAGAGGAAGGGCAGGATGCGAAAAGGGAACAAAACCCCACCGCCAAAAACATGTGATCATTTTTCGCTCCTCCTCGACAAAACAGACCCGCACGTCTCTTTTTTTCTTCTTTTCGATGTGTTGCTTCTTCTTCTTCCATGCTTGCTTCTTTTATCATTTTCGTCTCTGACCCCGGGTCTTGTTTTTCTGGAGATTTGAGATTTTTGAGAAAAAAAAGAGGAGAGATACTCGCTTTTTTCTCCTAAGTTTCCAAGTTTGTTCGATTTAGGAGAGAAAGAGAAGAAGAAGAACCATTTAGGTTTGTTTTGGGTGCAGATTTTCATTTTATATTGTTTTTTGAGATTCTGAGATTCCCAGTTTATTATATTTTTAAAATGTTGATGTCCTGAGAGATTTTGAGATTCTAGGATTTTTTGAGTTTCCGAGGTTCCAAGAAAATTTTAGTTCTGGAAGTCCGATGTTTGAAGTTTGAGAATGTAAGAATGTAAAATTCTGAAGTTTCGAAGATTCTGTAATTCTCAAAATCTGACAATCTGAAATTTTTGAAATTATTTTTTTTTCGGAATTTCCTGGTTTTTTTTTTGATTTTTCTGAATTTTTAGAATTTTCCAATTTTGCGAATTTTTCAAACTTTCTGAACTTTCGACTTTTCTGAAACTTCGAACTTCTGAATTTCTGAATTTTCGAAGTTTCAGAATTTTCAATTGTTGAAAATCAGAGATTCAGAGATTCAGAGAATTTGAGATATTGAGATTCTGAGATTCTGAGATTCTGAGATTCTGAGGTTCTGAGATTCTGAGATTCTGAGATTCTGAGATTCTGAGATTCCGAGATTCTGAGATTCTGAGATTCTGAGATTCTGAGATTCTGAGATTCTGAGGTTCAGAGATTCAGAGAATTTGAGATATTGAGATTCTGAGATTCTGAGATTCTGAGATTCTGAGGTTCTGAGATTCTGAGATTCTGAGATTCTGAGATTCTGAGATTCTGAGATTCTGAGATTCTGAGATTCTGAGATTCTGAGATTCTGAGATTCTGAGATTCTGAGATTCTGAGATTCTGAGACTCTGAGATTCTGAGAGTCTGAGATTCTGAGATTCTGAGATTCCGAAATTTCTAAATCTGAAAATCTTTAAATTGCTTCAAAATTCCAAAATTCGGAAATTCTGATTTTCCAAATTTCGGAAAATCAGAGTTTTTGAAAGTGACTAACCAAAACATAATTATAAATCACAAGTTCAGAGGAGTATATAATTTTCAAGCCACCAATTTTTTTAGCCTTCGAAAATTGCCACTTCCGAATCTCATATTTGATATTTTTGAATTTCCTGATAATAGAAAAGTTTTAAAAAATTTTAAATTTTTGAGTTTTTTTCAATTTTGGAATCTTGGAAAATTGTACTTTTGGAATTTCGTTTTGAATCTGAGAATTCAGGAATCCAAAAAAATTTGAACCCTCCGTGCCAGCCTTTTTGAAGCTTAGAGTTTCCTAATTTCAGGTTTCCGCTCCTCAAAAAATAATTTACGATTGTCTCAAATGTCTCTGAATCTCTTCATCTCTCACACTATTTCTCCCTCTCTTCATGTGCATAAAATTATTCGTACCCACCTAAACATACATTTTCTTGTCTTCTTTTACTTTTTCCATGAACCCCTTATTGTCTTGTCAGTCTAGTACTACTAGGACCCCCTCCCCCCATTCCAATCCGGTTCAAGAGTGATTTACGAGCAATTTGTGTATTTTCTTGTTCATTTTCCCTCGTCAGATACTAAAAGAAGGAAGAAGAGCGAATATGGTTTCCCTCCACCACAACCTAGTACGTAACGAAAAACGGAAATGGTCATTTTCATTACTCACTTCTTTTTTTTTGTTTCAAATGAAATAGAATTTTCATTCCGCTTCTCTATGGAACGAAAATATGAATCATTTATGAGCTTCTGGAGCGGTTTTGTATAATTTTTTGAAATTTATCGTAAACACTCTAATAGAACAACACCCGGACCATCCACTTTGAGCCTATATATCTCATTACTTTTAAAAGATATCAAAAAGTTGTTAACTGATAAAATATTTATCATGATATCAGCAACATTTTATTAGTTAACGACTTTTTCATATCTTTCACAGAGAATGAGATACATGGGTTCAAATTTGGCGAGTCGGGTGGCGTTCTATTAGAGTGTTTACGGTATTTCATAAAGTCAGAATTATAGAGTTTGTAAATTCTGAAATTTCGAAAGTCCTAGTTTTTGAAAGTGACTGACCAAAACATAATTATAAATCACAAGTTCAGAGAACATATAATTTTCAAGTCAATAATTTTTTATCTTTTAGAAATTGCCACTTTTGATTCTCATGCTGATATTTTTTGAATTTGTATAATTCCTGATCGTGGAAATTTTGGATTTTCCCGAAAATTCTAAAATTCTCAAAAATACCGTATTTGTTTTCATAGAACCCCATTCAAACCGTCAACTTTGAGCTGAATTATCTCTGTTCTTATCAAAGATATCTAAATGTTGTCAACTGATAAAATATTGGTGATATTATGATGAGCAATTTCTTAATTGACAAACTCTTGATATCTTTTACAGTTACAGAGATAACTGGCCTCAAAGTTTACTCAAATTTGGTGGACACTTATCAGAGGATATACGGCATATTTCTGAAATTCCTATTTTTTCTTGTCATAATTTTTCTTGAGTCGATGATTCTTAGGAATAAAAAACCTGAAACTCCTGGATTCTAGAACGTTGGGTTTTGTAAGATTTTGAGAGTCTCATAATTTTTTCTGAAATTAGATTTCAAGACTTTAGGATTCTGTGAATGAATGCGGAAAATCTGAAGTTCCAATTTTCCGCATCTTTCATATCCGAAATTCCGAACTTCTGTATTTTTTGAACTCTGACATTCTGGAGATCTGAAATCCTGAGATCCCAAAATGTTGAAATTCTGAAATTTGTTTCTGAGAATGTCTTAATCCCTTATCGAAACGGCTCTTTTCGTGTTTCGACACAAATTCTGGGGAAAATCCTAAGCTCTCCAATTCGAACCCAGATTTTTTTGAAAATGCCAAAATCTCATTTTCTGCAAAATATGCCCTTTCCATCCTTCTAGAACTATACTAACATCTGAAAGTCTACATGCCCTATTCTTCCGATTCCATGACTCATTTATGTCGTTCCAGCTACTATGACATTCCGTTCAATATAATCGTATCATCAAAAGTACAAAATTACGAATTCTCTGACTTCTGGAGCTCATTTCAAATAAATTATTCCAGCTCTTTCGTATCAAAAAACGTTCCTCCCCCATTCGTTTTTTCTTTTCTCACACCCTTTCCCATTCAACCTCACCTGAATAGAAAAGAAAGGATTCAAAACTTCTCTCTTTCTCTCTCTCTCCCATAACCAAAAACTACAAAAGCCGGAAACGCGTCTATTCTAAAAATCTCTGCTTCTTTTGGGGTCTCTCTCTCTCTCTCTCTCTCTCTCTCTCTCTCTCTCTCTCTCTTCGGTTCTTTTCTTTCCAAAATATGAAAAGCAACAAAAAGGTAGTCCTTCTTCTTCTTCTCCAGATGTGGAAGAAGAGAGAGAGAGTCTAGAGACTCTGTGCCCATTTGGAACGGAAATTACAATTCGCTCTTTCTCTTTTGCTTCACGTGTAAGAGTGTCCCTCATGTGTACATGTGTACTTCATTTTTCTTAAGGTGTCTGTGGACCCATTTGCTTTATGCGAACTCCAAAATATCCTGAAAGTAACATCCTTTGAAATCTCGCTCTTAAAACTGATGGACTAGAAACCAAACATTAATTGATTTTGAAAGTTTTCAACTGTCCAACGATCTCTGAAAAGCTCCAAAACTTTAATGATTTTTTTGAGATTTCAGACTTTGAGAAGGATTCATGAATGTCAGAATTCCAGAACTCTGAGCTTCTGAATTTCTGAATTTCTGAATTTCTGAATTTCTGAATTTCTGAATTTCTGAATTTCTGAATTTCTGAATTTCTGAATTTCTGAATTTCTGAATTTCTGAATTTCTGAATTTCTGAATTTCTGAATTTCTGAATTTCTGAATTTCTGAATTTCTGAATTTCTGAATTTCTGAATTTCTGAATTTCTGAATTTCTGAATTTCTGAATTTCTGAATTTCTGAATTTCTGAATTTCTGAATTTCTGAATTTCTGAATTTCTGAATTTCTGAATTTCTGAATTTCTGAATTTTCTGATTTTTTGCTCTGACCTAAATTTCTCAAGCACTCTTTGACCTTCTCCCTGTTTTTTTTCTCTCCTTCGGATCTTCAGAATTCTGTTCTATTTCTAGTATGTCACATAGGAGCCATCCTTGTGCTCATCCTCTTAAAAAATTAATTTGACCCCCGTCGTCGTCGTCGTTTCTTTTTCCGGTCCGACGACGGTTGACATATTTCTTTATTTTTGATACATCTTTTGCTATTTGACACCCCCTTCACACATCTTCACCCTCCCTTTGTATGTGCAAATTGTACATATTTATCTCCATCCGAAGAACAAAAATAATTTCCTTCTATTTTTTCCAGATGGGCGAACGAATTCGCCTCTTCTCGACCGCTTCATTCGTCTCACCTGCCACAACATCCAGATGTAGTGAGCCGACGGAAGGGGGCGGAGCTTCAGGGGGACGAGGAACAACGATGACAGTTACAACCAGTGGGTCCGGTGGAACGGTTATCGGTTTGGCAAAGTCACATTCGTTGAATAGTTTCGAAGATTCGACCGGTGAGTTTTTTAAATAGTGTTAGAGAGTTTGAAGCAGTTTCGAAGGCGCGCCAGCTCAATTATCTCGGTTCCTATCAGAGATATCAAGAGTCTGTTAACTGTTAAAATGTTTTTTGCGATACCAGCTACATTTTTATAGTTTACAGATTTTTGATATCTCTTATGGGAACCGAGATAAATAAGAATACAAAGTTACCATTCATGCTCTAACAGAACGCAATAAAAAATGTTGGTGATATTATAACAAACATTTTATTAGTTGGCAGATTTTTTATATCTACTATAGGAACCGAGATAATTGAGCTCAAACTTGACGTATAGGATGAATTATTTTAGAGCATCTATCACAGGTTTGACCTAATTTATCTCGGTTCCTCTGAAAGCTATCTAAAATTTAAAAACGTTCAAAATATAGGTGATGCTCTGATAAACATTTTCTCAGTTAACAAATTTTCGATATCTCTCATAGGAGCCGAGGTAATTGAGCTCAAAGAATAGGGCCACTCTAGCTTCTCCCGAGTGGCACAGTCGGTAGTGGCGCCGCACCTTCAATATCCACAATTTCAATTTCTTTCAGGGCTTATATTAACAAAATTTCGAGAAAAATTTTTTAGAATCCCCTCCCCCCCTTAAAGAGAGATTCTACAGTAATCCCTAATTACGAACAACAAAAAAATCCAAACAACATCTCTCGATGTTTTCTGTTCCCCTTTTCTGAAGACCCCCTTTAGGCCACCCCTCTTCTTCCCGCACCTTTTCGGTAAATATTTTTGGAACCACCAACAAGCCGTATTTGCCTATGTGGGGTCAACCACCAACAATTTCTCTGCCCCTCTCTCTCTCTCTCTCTCTCTCTCTCTCTCTCTCCAGCTAACAATATTTTTAGTATTTCCAAACACGGTCTCAAGGGACATCGTCTGAACTCTTGACCGTTTCTAATTCTTGTGAAAAGTTCCACCTCGTTTAGGAAACTTGACTAATTACTATCTTTTTTGCCAGCTATCTTTATGTGCTCTTTCATCCCAAAAATTCCCTTTTCTCTTTTCTTTTAGCTCTCCAGAAGTGTTGCAATATATTTTTTAATAATTTATAAAATTTTGCCACCAAAAAAGAGAAAAAATGTGAAAGATAGAAGACTATTTTTCCGTAAAACCTGTAATAGAAGGGCCCCCTAGCTTTTAAATTCGAGCCGATCTTTCTCGGTTCCTGTCAAAGGTATCAAAAAGTTTTCAACTGATGAAATAATGATAATTTTATCATTTCACTATAATTAACCACTTTTTGATATCTTTCACAGGAAGCGAGATGATTGAGCTCAAAATTGACATTTGTGGACCCGTTCAACTACATTTTACTTCTTTTAAAACGTTAAAATGGCAAATGAGCTCCCTTGAGAACCTGAAAATTCGAGTTTCAAATTTTCCAGCGCCAGTCTTCGTGTCGACAACAACGACGCGGTGTCAATCGGGTAGGAAAAGTCATCAATTGAACCATCAGAGGAACAATTCCGGTGTAATAGGAATCACAACAGAAGAGCATCATCGAAACTTCGAGAAGAAAAAGTCGAGGATAGATGCCATCGGGTCACTGTTATCACTGCCAAGTCACGACGAGCCAATGAGCAATTCAGGTTAGCCAAAAAAAACGAAAAAAGCATCTTCCCTTGCGGGCAATCGAACCCCGGCCTTATGGGTGAGAGCCATAAATCCTAACCACTAGACCACAACGGAGCGTGAAGAACAGAGAAGGAGAGGGCATACACATTGCCGCGGTTTTCTCTTCCTCTCTCTCTATCTCTCGTTGCACGAGAAAATAAGTTGAACAGTTGACCAGAGGAGAAGAGAGAAGATTCTAGACACAATCCAGTGATCCGAAAGGTCCCCATTGTTCCTTTTGTGTTGTCGGGTGCAAACTTTTCGAAAAAAAAGGAATTCATTATTCTCTTCTTTCTGGTCCTTCTACACGTATTCAAGTACAACACCAGCCAACATTTCGGGGGGTCATTCAACAGAAACCAATCACCTAAAGTGCCTCTTTTTCTTGCAGGAATGGATTCGGTAGATCTGGAAAAAGGGCTAGAAAAGGACGTCTCACAGCTGGGAATTCTTTGTCATCACTGCTCGACGACGGATTTAACGTGTCCGAAAACGCAGAAGGTACACACTTTTTTTATTGGTTTGAACTCTCTTTGACCCAGAGGGTCAAAGGGTCTTTTTGATGGTTTCTGGTGTTAGGACCGACAGATGGGTTAAAGAAGAAGTCTCGTAAAATCGAAGAGAATGAAATTGGGAGCAAAGAAAACGCGAGGGGTCATCTTCTTACTTTGACCCTAGTTAAATCGATTCCTGTAATAGATAGCGAAAGTTTGTCATTAACAAAATGTTTATCATAATATCGGTAAAATTTTATCAGTTGACAACTTTTTGATATCATTCACAGAAACCGAGATAAATGAGGTTGAAGTAGGGATGATAGGATTCCACAACTTCCTCCTGTCACCTAAACTCAAATTAGCTCAGTTCTTGTAAAAGATTTCAAAAAGTGGTCAACTAATAAAATGTTTATGATAAAATTATTTACATTTTATTAGTTGACCTGTTTTTGATACCATTTCCAAGAAGCGAGATAAATTTGGTCAAAGCAGAGAGACCCTTCTATTTACGACAAAGGTTAAAAGTCAACTGTTGTCTTAAAATAGCAAATTTAAAAACTTATAATTAAAATTCTTTGAAAAAATTAGGCTAAACTTTTTCAAGCTGAGTGCTGAAACTATACAATTTACAAAAAAAAATTTTTAAATTGCTTTCAAAAAATTCAAATTCCCTCCCAATTTTTCAGAGTAAATTTTAGGCTGAAAACTAATAAGTAATATCGAATTTTCTTCTACTCCCGAATCACCTGATTCGCAAATTTGAGCCTAAAATCGTATCGGTGTTTACGTACTTTCGGCGCTACAGTAACCCAAAAAAGACGTAAATCTACAAAATAATAAAAGAAACCTAGTTGTTTTGCTTCTAGATTTTGAGCTCAATTATCTCGGTTCCTGTGAAAGATATCAAAAATGTGTCAACTGATAAAGTATTGGTAAAATAATGATAAATATTTTATCAGTTGACAAAATTTTGATATTTTTTACATGTACTGTAATTAGCGACAAACCCCTTTTAAAAAGCAAAGTATCGAAGAATTGCTGAAAGAAGTTGAATTCTCATATTTTTCGATTGTTTTTAGAGCTTTCTAGCCAACAGTCATACTCTTACTTCTATTTCAGTTCCTTTTCAGTTAGTATACATTTTTATACAAATTTTGAAGACTAGAACTTTCACTTTTCGAATTCTTTCAAGAAAATCATAAATGCCGTAAACTACATAATAGAAGCCCACCCAAACCGTTACCTTTGAGCTTATATATCTTATTTCCTGTGAAATATATCAAAAAATGGTCAATTGGCAAAATATGTATTATAATATCACCAATACTTTATCAGTCGACAGATTTTCGATATCTCTCACAGGAACCGAGATATATAAGCTCCAAGTTAAGAGATCGCTGGTTAGAGCCGACTTTTTAATTGTTTGGTCTCAAAGTTGGCAAGTTGAATAGCCCTCTATTAGGGTGTTTACAGTAATTTGAATTTAGTTTTGAAATAATCTCACCCAATACAAAGAAATCCAAAATTTCTGGAACATTCTTCTATTTTTTTTTCAAATAATCCTCGTCTACACCTGTCCACCACAGGCAAGACAACCTGTCCACCAGGTGATGTGTTTCAAAATAATGATCATTTGGGTCATCAATAGACGGAGAGTCTCATTCTCTTTCCATTTCTCAAGGGCGTTCTTTTTCCACAAACTCCCACAAATGTCTTTTTTCGAAAAAGTTGAATCGTGCCAGGCGGGGTGACAGGTGTCCAATTCATGGGTAAGGGCCATCTGTTTAGGATTTTTTCTATATCAACGCATTCCCTATTTTTCTTCTATTCTTCTTAAAATTTTTCTTCTGAATAGACGTCTTCTGAAGATTCAGAAAACAATAGGATCAGCAAAATGAATATGGTGTGTTCCATTTTTTCTCCAAATCCCTTAACCCCCCTCTTTCTATACAATTTTGTCATTTTCAGGAGCTGCCATCACCATCTGCATCATCCGTTTATTCATTGGCAAGATCCGATATGTCCAACGAGCCGTTGTGCAGAATTTGTCATTGCTGTTGGCCTCCAGATTCCAATGATCCACTGATTTCGCCGTGTAGATGTTCTGGATCCTTGCAGTATGTACATGTTTCGTGTTTGATGGTGAGTTTTGATTTATGGATCTCAGACTCTCAATACTTCAGAATCTTAAAATCTTAAAAATTTGGAATTTTAAAATCTCAGGATCTCAGAATTTCAGAATTTCCGTATAATAGAGTCTCAGAATCTCAGAATCTGAATATTCAGAATCTGAATATTTGAGGTTTGTAAATTACGAAATTTCCAGATTGTTAGATTTAGCAGCTTCAAAAATGTTATGATATTTAAAGTTTTGAAAGTTTGAAAAGATTTTTGAGGTTCGAAATTCCAATATTCAGATTTTCGGAGCATCTTTAATTATCAGAATCTGGTAGTCTGAAAAACGGCCTTTCTAAATATGTGACTCTGAAAAATTGTGTGATTCTGAAAACCTGAATTTGTGTGAAGTTCTGAAGGCATCCGAGAACATTAGAAGTTATAATTTATCGGGTTTTCTGGGCCATTTTATTCACCTGGTGGGCTTTTTAGGCCATTTTATCATGGTGGCCTAACTTTTCCAAGTTCAGTTTTCTAGGTCACCGTGGGAAATTGCCTAGGAAACATACCAGGTAAATATTAAGCTATTTCTTGGCCATTTACCATGGTGGCCTAGAAAACTTAACTTGCAAAATTTGGGCCACCATGCTAAAATGTCTTTCGAAAGACCCAAAAATTCCAATTTTCCAGCACTGGCTCGATATCTCATCTCGAAAACTGCACCGACCGGCCATCTGTGAACTGTGTTTATACAAATACAGAAGACGTCGAGTGCTGAAATATCGTGAGATGAAGCTTCCACAGTGTGCTCAAGCCGATATTCGATTCTACACACTTTTTGTTATTGCAATTGTTTTGATGATTCTATCGGCGTTTGCCACTGTCGTCTGTTTTCAACTGGAAAAGAGTTACGGGTTACCAGCGGAGCTTAGGAATCGGTTAGTTTTATATTTTCTGCTTTGATCAAATTTATCTTGGTTCCTGTGCAAGATATCAACAAATTTTCAACTAATAAAATGTTTATGAGATTATGGTAAACATTTAACAGTTTACAACTTTTTGCTATCTTTGACAGGAACCGAGATAAATAAGCTCATAGGGGCCCTTATATTACAGGTTTTGACAAAGCCTCCAAACTCCCACTGGATCTCTAAATTTGCAAATTCTTTCCAGAACCATATCCCCAATGAACGTGGAAGGTGTCGCCAGTGATTTATCCCCAGCTGCACCTCCTCCTGCTCCGCCCTCTCTCACTGCCGTGGCTCCGAATACAGAAGACTCAACGACGGCTAGTGTGGTGTTAGGTGCAAGAAAACGAATCGGTAGGGGTTGAAAAAATTGCTGAAAATTTCATGAAAATTTTGCAGGTGATATAACAGTAAGTGCCTCCTCAAAAGACGAGTACGGTCGGCGTGACGACGCCGAAAATGTGTTATCGACGGTGACGCTGATCGCCGCAATGGTCTTCTTCCTTAGCTTTTTCCTCGCCATGTATGCTCATGTTAAGGTGAGTCAAGATTACTGTATTTTTTTGAAATTTTTCTGGAAATTTTTTCTTTAAATACACCAAAACCAATCATTTTTCAATGTTTATGGCCTAAAAATTTGAATTTCTCGCCGTAAAAAATCTATAGAACTCCAAAGGAATCGAACTTTTCCCATTTCTGCTCCACAACGATCCCTCTTACCCACTGCGCCACGCAACGCGCACCCACAGCCACGGCGCAACAAAGACAAGAAAGCGCGGAGCGCCCACATGGCTCAGTGGGTTAGAAGGAGGGCTTTGATACAGGAATGCCAAAAGTTCGATTCCATTGGTGTTCTATAGGTTTTTGACAGCGGGAAATTCAAATTTTTGAGTTACAAACTATGAAAATAGCTTGGTGTTGGTGTTTTTTGAAAAAATATCCAGAAAAATGTGTCCTTTACAAAAATATCAGGATAATCCCTCGATTCTATGAATCCCTTGAAAACATTTCCCCATTACTTATCCATCCAATTCTTCCCCAAATTCTAACAACCTCTAATTACGGGTAACTGGTTCTTATTTTTATAATTAAACACCTTCTTTCCGAAAAAGGCTTCGCATCTTCTTCTTTTTTATGCATTTCCTCATTTCATTGAAATTCAATCATTCATGAAAAATAATGGATAATGGGTTGTTGGGAAAAAATTGTATAGAATAGAACCTGTAATAGAAGGACCCCTCACTTTTAACTTTGGACCAACTTATCTCGGTTCCTGTCAAAGATATCAAAAATTTGTCAACTAGTAAAATTCTTATCATAATCTGATAAACATTTTATCAGTTGACCATTTTTTGATATCACTCATAGAAATCGAGATATATAGGCTCAAAATTGACAGGGTGGGGTCCTTTTTATTAGAGGTTTTAGGATAAGTTGGAAATTTTCAAAAAATGAAACTTATGATTTCAGTCGGGTCTATCGTTTTGCGGATATTTGACATTATGCTGGAGTTCGAATCTCGAATGGTCTATCGAAGAATACAAACATTCAAGGGACACACAGTATCTGAATAAGTTGGAGGAGTTGCGGCGGAAAATTAATGGTGAGTTGGTATTTTTTGTTCTAGAAGGTTCTGGGAAAATTGAAATTTTTTTGTACCAGCAAGAATATTCTGTTAACGGAATTCCGATATCCGAAAATTTGGACCATTCTCGGAATAAAATTCTGACCTTAATACCGTAAGCACTATAATAGAACCCCAACCGAACCGCCAACCTTGAGCTCATATATCTCGGTTCCTGTGAAAGATATCAAAATATGATCAACTGACAAAATGTTTATAATAATATCAAAAACATTTTATCAGTTATTACATTTTTGATATCTTGCATAGTTGCCGAGGTAATTGAGCTCAAACTTGACAGTGTGGGGGCCCTTCCTTTACAGGTCTTACGGTATTCTAGAAGACAATGAAAGTACCTTGAAAGCGTTTTGAAATTTTTTGAAACATTCTAAATTTTTGTTTCCATTTTTCAAAAACCCCTTTCTCGAAAAACGGCCACCCTGGAAACTCATCAAAAGACATAAAATGGGCATAGCGATAAGAGTCATAAATTTCAATTCAATATTTACCTATTCAAACAAAAATGCTATCTATAAGAGTCGAGACGAATTGGTGTGTGTCTTTTGTGTTGTTCCAGCTGTGTAGAATTGGCACACACAAATACATGAATACTAATAAGAATACAGGATCTGGGTGGGACATTTTATGTGTTAACGAAGCCGACAATTGTGCTATATAGATTTATTTTTATGGTTATGGTTAATCCTTTTCTTTGATATTACGTCTTCAGATGACACCCTTAATAGCAAGTAAGCAAATAAGAGATTGGGAAGGTTAGAAAAATTTGGAGTTGAGAAAATTAGGGAATCACAGAGGAGGAAGGACCTAAAATATTTGAAAAATTAAATTTAAGAAAAAAAAGTATAGGTCTGAAATTTTGATTTTATCGAGAGACGCCAGATTCGCGAATTCAGAACTTTCCAGAATTTTCATATTCGAGATTTTATGACTTTAAAAAGTGAAAAAAAAGAGATTCTGAGATTCTGAGATTCTAAGATTCTGAGATTCTGAGATTCTAAGATTCTGAGATTCTGAGATTCTGAGATTCTGAGATTCTGAGATTCTGAGATTCTGAGATTCTGAGATTCTGAGATTCTGAGATTCTAAGATTCTGAGATTCTGAGATTTTGAGATTCTGAGATTCTGAGATTCTGAGATTCTGAGATTCTGAGAGTCTGAGATTCTGAGATTCTGAGAGTCTGAGATTCTGAGATTCTGAGATTCTGAGATTTAGAGATTCTGAGATTCTGAGATTCTGAGATTCTGAGAATCTGAGATTCTGAGATTCTGAGATTCTGAGATTCTGAGATTCTGAGATTCTGAGATTCTGAGATTCTGAGATTCTGAGATTCTGAGATTCTGAGATTCTGAGATTCTGAGATTCTGAGATTCTGAGATTCTGAGATTCTGAGATTCTGAGATTCTGAGATTCTGAGATTCTGAGATTCTGAGATTCTGAGATTCTGAGATTCTGAGATTCTGAGATTCTGAGATTCTGAGATTCTGAGATTCTGAGATTCTGAGATTCTGAGATTCTGAGATTCTGAGATTCTGAGATTCTGAGATTCTGAGATTCTGAGATTCTGAGATTCTGAGATTCTGAGATTCTGAGATTCTGAGATTCTGAGATTCTGAGATTCTGAGATTCTGAGATTCTGAGATTCTGAGATTCTGAGATTCTGAGATTCTGAGATTCTGAGATTCTGAGATTCTGAGATTCTGAGAGTCTGAGATTCTGAGATCCTGAGATTCTGAGATTTAGAGATTCTGAGATTCTGAGATTCTGAGATTCTGAGAATCTGAGATTCTGAGATTCTGAGATTCTGAGATTCTGAGAATCTGAGATTCTGAGATTCTGAGATCCTGAGATTCTGAGATTTAGAGATTCTGAGATTCTGAGATTCTGAGATTCTGAGAATCTGAGATTCTGAGATTCTGAGATTCTGAGATTCTGAGATTCTGAGATTCTAAGATTCTAAGATTTTAAGCTTCTAAGATTCTAAGATTCTAAGATTCTAAGATTCTACGATTCTAAGATTCTAAGATACTAAGATTCTAAAATTCTAAGTCTCTGATATTCTGAGATTCCCCGAATTTCTTCACAGCTTTCATGAACAAAACTTAACTAGTCAATTCTGTCGCCCTGTGTGCAATAGAGCGAGCATGCATTTTCCGCCCGACATCCCAATAAAATCTTGCCTATCCGATTACATACACTTTCCCTTTTTTTCCTAAAAAAATTCCCATTTTTTGCAGAAAAACAGAAGAAAGCCGCCGACGAAGTGGAACCATTACGAAGTTCTGTGATTGTTCTTGAATAGTTTTTTATCTTTTTTTGCAATTCTATTATATCTTTTCTTTTTTATACCACAACATTTATCTCTTTCTATTACGACCAAATTGTTTGTAAAAATGTGAAAAATTGTTTTCCAAATCCCAAAAATCAAATCCTCCCAAAAATCTGTGAGACCATCTTTTTTTCAATTTTACTGTTCTAAAAAATGTTCTTGAATTCTCAAAAAAAAGTTTCCTCAATTCTCAAATCGCCCCCCAATTCGGTTATGTTGCCTTTATGCAAATGTTTGCAAAACGAAAATTTTTTCCTGTGTGTTTATGTCTTCCTTCTTCTTTTTCCCCCTTTTTACCATTCTTTCATTTTTCTATTCGTTTTTGTAACCTCCTTCTTTTTTCCAGTTTTTATATTTCTCTTTTTTCCATTTCTTACCATTTTATGTAATAAATATATTATCTTAAATTTTAAAACTATTTAGGTTCATAGACGAGATAAAAATACATAGAAAAAATACACTGTAAAATCTTAGATGGAGTTGAACTACCAGGTGGCGCACAATTACCCGGTCAGATAAAACTGGGTATATCTTTATCTTGGAACCCGAAAATTGGTAGAAAGGTAGATTTACATATGATTCAAAGCTACTGAAATTTTCAAAGCGTTTCTTCAAATATAGGTATTGTTATGGTTGCAGAAAGAGGCCAGGGTAATGTTTCTTGTGATCTTGAAGAGATGAAGAAACTTTGACAAGCGATAACTTATCTTAAAATTGATAAAATCATTGGAAACATTGCCAGTTTACTGATGAATAATTTGAATCTCCGCACCCCAAATTTGAGGCCAGTTACCCTAAAAATTTTATGCTAGTACTAACTTGAGTCCAGGGAATTATGAGCCACCCTGTATTAGATCATTTTTTACCGTAAATATCTGGATTTTGAACTTTGACACTGGGAAGTTCTAGAAGCTGATATTCTAATTCTCATGCTCAAAAAAACTACAAGGTTGACGATTTCAAATTTCGAGAATAGCAATTTCTGAAGATTTGCGATTTGAAAACTACTAGAAATTTCCAAATTATTTTTTCTCTGCTCCACTCTGGGAAGTTTCAAAAAGTATATTTTTGAATTCAGAATAGCAGTTTCCTTAATTTTCAAATTTATGGTTTATAGGTTATATGAATACAGTACCTGTCAATAAGATATACAAAGACAAAATTTTCAGTTGATTTTCCACCGTTTTAACCATTTTCAGGGGTCTGGAGCTCAGTTGTCAAGGTTTCAATCACTTTGAAAATTTTGGAGAGTCTAAAACAGACCAAGAAAACTTTACATTCCCAGATTTTTTTTGAAAATTCCTAGTTTCTCAGCTAATGACCGATTTCTGAAAGCTATTGACCGATTTCTCAAATAACTGAAAAACTAGGGAAATTTCAAAGTGATCGGAAACCTGATAGTTCCAGAATCCGGAAAATCTCTGAAAATCCCCCGAAAAATACGTTTTTATCTATCTTATTGGCAAACGCTGTACATTTTCTGACGCCTTCTACCCCCCCTATCCAAAACAATGAAACCAAACAGTCTCGAGAAAACGGTAATTCTTCGATTCCACTCACATCTCGCTAATCCCCTCTGATAATTAGTGTGAACGTCTTCTGGTGTCGTCTGAAGGTCGAATTCTTCTACTTCCGAATCTTTCTAATTGATAGAAGATATATATTCTTCTTCTTCCTCTTTTTCCCAGAAAACCCTATTTGCTATATAGGAAGAAGAAGCATTGGAATGGACAGTATGTGTCGGAATGAATTAAATTCAAATTCCCGCCCATTTCTTTTTCCGAGTGATCGTGATGGTTTTCGACAGTCTTTGGGATTTCATACAAATTTGGGGCGGTACGGAACAGGAGAGAAATAGAGAAAGAAACAGAAAATTGGTTTTCAATTTCTCTTTTTTTCTGACGATTCTCATCCTGTTACCAGTTTGTCCTTCTTATTCTGATCTCCTTTTGTTCTTTTTCTTTTTCTTCTTTTTCCATTTATCTTCTCTCCGGTAGAATACAAGGATTTCGTTGTTGTTTTCCCTCATCCATAATTGATTTTGGCTTTCGTTTCGAGGGTTTTGGGCATACTTGCAAAATTCCGGGCCGGGTCGCGGGCCGATGAAGTGCCGGCCCGGCCCGGCCCGCTGTTTGTACATAAGCTGATTAAAAAAATTTTTTTTTCGAAAATTTAATCAAAAACTCTATATTTTTTGACTACTTTCTACTTAGATAATTTTAAAAAGTATGTAACTTTTTTCTTTTTTTAGTTCAAAAAAATGTCCCAATTTTTCATTGGAAATTTTCTTTTACTGAGAAAGGGCGGGCCGGGTCACGGGCCGGGCCGGGCCGGGCCGGGTCGCGGGACGGGCCGGGCCGAGAAAATTGTCGCTTTGGCCCGACCCGGCCCGTTGCAAGTAGGGTTTTGGGGTTTTGGACCTTAATTGGATGTACGATATCTATTGTTTATGACCTGCGAGGGTTTAGGAAAATTTGAGTTTCCAGAACCTTGGAACCAAAGTTTCAGAAATTTTAAATTTTTAGGGTTTTGTTAATTTTTATGATTTCGAGATTTTTCAACTTTCCAAACTTTACAAAATCAAGTTTTTACTAAATTTCTGAATTTTCAAGGATATTTTAAAATGATTTTTTGGAATTTATAATTTCAAGATTTTTAAAACATTTTCAAAATTTAAAAACTTAAAAGTTTGAGATCTTTAAGGTTTTTGCAATTATAAAATTTCTAGATTTTTCACAATTTTTTTTCAATTTTCAGAATTTTGAGAATTTCAAAATTCAAAATTTCAAAGTTTTCCAAGACTTATCACTTACAGATTTTTCAATATTTTTTAAGTTTTTTCAAAGTTATAAGATTCTCAAATTTTATAATTTCAAGATTTTAAAAATTTCAAGATTTTCGGATTATAAAATTTTCGAAATATTTTAAATCTTAAGATTTTTCAAGATTTAAAATTTAAAAAATTCAAAATTTCAATGTTTTTTTCAATTTTAAAGATTTTCAGGATTTTTCGAAATTCAAGATTGTTAACATTTTCAAATTTAATGATTTTTCAAAATTTATAAGTTTAGATTTTTCAAAACTATTTTTCTTCAAAATTCGTAGTTTCAAGTTTTTCAGACTTTTATAAATTTGCTCTTTTCAAAATCTGAAAATTTTGAATGTGCGAACAAAATTTTTACAAATTTTTGAATTTTCAAACTTTCAAAATCGAGTTTGTACAAATTTTTGAACTTCCCAGAATTTTGAATTTTTACAAGATTAGGAGTTCTCACAAATTTTTTAATTATTCAATTTTTAAAAAATTTTTATATGTTTTTCAATTTTCGCACATTTTTGAGCTTTTACAAATAAAAAAAAATTGTTTTAAAAAGTTTTCAAAAAAATTGTAAAATTTCAGAATTTTCGAATTTTAGATTTACAGAATCTCAGGATCTGAAAATCTGAGGATTTGAAAATCTCGAAATCTGGGCAAACCAATATACAGATATACAAGAAGATTTAGAATCCAAATTTGCCTCTTTCCCATGTTCATAAATAAACTGTCCTTCTGTTTCCCTGAACCATCTGGATCATCATTTCACCCCAAAATTGAGACATTTCACCCCCGTTTTTACCCCCGAAAGTGTCTTTATAAATCATTGTGTTAACCCTTCTCCTTCCCAGAATTCGGACCTCTTCTTCTTCTTCCTCTTATAATCTACCATTGTCTTCCTCCTCCCATTTGGTGTGTCCCAACCTAATCCCCTTGTTCATCTAACTTCTAACTTCTTCTTCTTCTTACCCAACTCTTCATCTAATCCTCTTCTCCCGATTGTTCATTTCATTTGATTCCCTCTTTCTCTTCCCGTTCCGAATCCTCAAAGAGCAGCTGTTTGTGTGTTAATGTGCATTTTCTCACTGTCTTCTTATATTGTAAAGATCCTCCTTCCGGAAGGACTGACTGACTTCTTCAGGAGGAACGACAAAAACCAATCGACGAGACAATGATATATGCATTTCTTTTACACCCCCTTCTTCCGTTCCTGCCTAGATCAGTGGCCATTGTTTTGTGTACTATGAGTTGTAAGAATTCACACCTTTGCTTCTGTAGGTGTCCATTTTTTTACACACCCATGGAGTCTTTGGTCCGAACTTTTTGCCTTGAAGACATTCTGGCCTAATTTTCTATTTTTAGAGTGGTTATTTCCTTAAATTTCTTGCATTTTCTTTTGGCAAAAAATATTTACCGTAAAATCTGTAATGAAAGACCCCACACTGCCAAGTTTGAATTAATTTATCTTTGTTTCTGTGAAAGATATCAAAAGTTTGTCAACTGACAAATTGTTTATTATATTATCACCAATCTATTATTAGTTGACCAATTTCTGATATCTTTCACACGGACCGGGATAATTTGGCTCAAAGTTTAAAGATAGTTGACCCTTCTATTATCGGTTTTACGGTAGTTGGTCCTAACTTTCGTCTTGGAAACATTCTGACCAGAGTTTTCTATATTTTGAGGGATATTTCCGTTGATTTTATTTGAAATTTTTCGATAAACCGAAGCGCCAGCTTTGAGCCGAATTATCTCCGTTCCCGTGAAATATATCAGAAATCTGTAAATTTATCAAATATTGTTGGTATTATGATAATTAATTCATCAGTTGACAACTTTCATATCACACGAATCGAGATAATTGAGCTCAGCCTGCACGTATAGGGTTGGCATCCATCAGAGCAAATACGGTATGATAATTTTCACTATCAAAATACTGACAAAAATCACTTTTCAGCTAATTTTTCACAAGCTCTGAATTGTTCAAATTTTCCTCGATTTTTCTATACGATTTTTTCTCTGAAAATCTAGAATCTTCAAGCCCTTTCCCTCTCAATAAACATAACAGAAATCATACTTTTTCTTCCAAATTTTCTTTTCTCTCTCTCTCTCTCTCTCTCTCTCTCTCTCTCTCTCTTCCTTCCTTTTGTCTATTTGTTAAGCATCACGAAAAAAGAGAAACAAAAACATAACGAATCTCTGTGGAGGCAATCCGATACCAATGTTTTATACTGAAATCGGATCCCTCAACTCGAATGGTCTCATCACCCCCAACCATCCACCCTTTTTTTTCTAGGATTAATCCTAAAGTATTTAAAAATTAGCCGTCTTGAAGCATCTATTTGACACGCATGTGTTAGATTGATGGTATCGAACAAAAATGAATGCTAATGATTTCGGAAAACACGAAACAGTGGGTGGTCTCTCTTCTCTCTCTCTCTCTCTCTCTCTCTCTCTCTCTCTCTCTCTCTCTCTCTCTTCCTAAACAACAATACGGTGCGCATTGGTGTTCCCCCATTGCTCTTGAGAGAGCACAGGGAGCCCTGAACTATAGGGAGCCACTTGATTATTCAGTGTGAAGTGTATTTGGCAGGAGGAGTGAAAACACAAAACAATAGGTTAGAGGATAGAGAAAGATCTCGGCACATAGGGAACATATTGGCTTCTTACATTAATCTTGATGGGCTTATGATGTTTGAGTTTTGTTTATACTGTGCTAGCAAAAATTTTATTCAAAAATGATCATTTTTTGAAAATTGTCAAGTCTGGGTGTCTGAAAAATTACTCATTACTTGTCCGTTTGTTTTGAAAACCTCTGGAATCGTAAATCAAATATAGAATTCTATTTTTGTAGTTATCAACTTTTCTGTAAAATTACAGAAGAGTCTCTATGTAACTTTACATCCAACTTTTCTCGGTTTCTGTCAAGTCTATGAAAAATGTGTCTACTGATAAACAGTTTATCATAATATCACCAGTATTTCACCAGTTGACAAATTTCTGATATCTTTCTCGTGAATCAATTGAACTCATATACGGTGGGTTTCTATTAAAGCAAGTACAGTATTTCCGGAATACCCTACAACATTTCCAGATGTTTCTCCCGATTTACGTCACCATATTGATTTTTTTTTGAAAAATATACACATTTGATCGTTTCTAGAATTATATTCCATTTTCAATCCCATGATGATTCACAATGCTTTCTGGAAATTTCTTTTTTCTCATTTTTCCTAACATCAAAAAAAAATATATGATCGTTTGCCCCCTCATTTTTTCGCGGTGATAGAATCATTTGCATATCCACCTACATATGGAACTGTTGACTATTTCATAATGTCCCTTTTTTATGTTCTCGAAGATTCCTAGCTTCTAAACAGAAACTATCGAAGTTGGGTTTCCGAAAACTCAAACAAAAAAAATTGACATGACCCAAACCTGGTCTGAATGATCGTCACACAGCTGTGGTCCTTCTGATAGTTTCATTTTACGGTCAAGTGGATCACCATCTGTGTCAATTCTCAACGGAATTTTCTAGAACTTTTCGAGAAATAGTCAACTTTGGGGTCATAAAAATGATATATTATATATGCCATTTGTAATCAAAAACCTACTGAAATTTACACTGAAATGAAAGTTGGGCCATTTTTATACAATCTACTGTAATCAGTCTAATGGAATGCCCCTCAAACTGTCAACTTTGAGCCCATATATTTCACTTCCTGTAGAAGATATCGAAAAGTGAGAAACTAATAAATTAATCATTATAATATCACGAATATTTTATTAGTTGACATGTTTTTGGTATCTCTAATGGGAAGCGAGATAATTGAGCTTGAAGTGCACTTATAGAGTGGGCTTGTATTAGACCAATTACTGCACTACTTAGTGAGATTTTCAGACAAATTGAAACATTCTGGACTACTTTTTCAGTACTTCAAAGAGTGGACCACATTAAATGTTTAGCATGAAACTGCTACCTATGGAAAACCAGATGTTTATATTTGTATATTTTATCCAACCTAACCGGAAATTTCTCACCTTTTTGCTCTTTTTCCTCTTCTCAGTTTCCGATTTTCCTTGAAAAAATGTGACTCTACAACTGGCCACGTCATGAGGGAGGATCCTGTCACTCTGTGATGGACACACAACACATGTGTTTTTGTTGCACTTCTCAGATGCTTGCTTTTTCTTCTTTTTGATACTTTTGGTTTCTCTTTTGTCTTTCGGGTATACAACTCGTGAAAGTCATTTGTAAGCATGGAATGCTGAAGTTTTCGAATTTCATGTTTCCGAATTTTTGAGATCCTGTGAATGATATCCCTGAAAATTAGCTTTCAGACAAACTTTCAGACATTTCAATTTCAGCTACACTTCCAAAAAAATTTGTTGAAAGTTTTTGATTGACAATTGTTGACTTTTAGCCTCTATTTATTATTCAACCAAATGATTTTTAGTTTTTTTTTTGGGCGTTGATAATCGAGATTTTTTCGAAGGTTCAATTTTTTGAATATACCGTAAAGCTGTGAGTAAAAAAAGCAGAACATATCAACTTTCTCCCAATCTACCGTAAAACCTGCTATAGAATGGGCCTCCATGTTTTCAACTTTGAGCCAATTTATCTCGGTTACTGTAAAAGGTATCAAAAAGTGATAAACTGATAAATTGTTTATCATAAAATTACCAAAATTTTATCAGTTGACACATTTTTGATATCTCTCTCACGAAACGAGATAATTGAGCTCAAAGTGGACGCATAGAGTGGGATTCCATTAGAGCAAATTCAAAAGGTAAAAGTTGAGGGGTGCCCTTCTATTAAAGGTTTTACGGTATATGATGCCTATGATAACATGCACCATACTATTATAAATTTCAATTTTTGAATTTTTCTGTGAAAAATGAATAAATTCACTTTGTTCAAAAAATTGAAAATTATCTGATAGTGGGCTTTCTGGAATTCTCAGAAAATTTATTAAAAATCAAGCTCCAAGTTTTTAGTTTTTCAAAGTTTTGATGAGAAACTCGTTTTTTCAAAGTTGACCTTTTTTCGCGAATTTTATAAACTTAGAAACAATCTTTAACCTACTTTCCCAGATTTCCAAAGATACCGTAAAACCGATAAAAGGGTCCCTTACTTTCTACTTTGAGACAGTTTATCTCAGTTCTTGCGAAAGATATGAAAAAGTTGTCAACTGATAAACTGTTTATCCTAATATCATCAGTATTTTAGTTGACACATTTTTGATATCTTGCACAGGAATAGAAATAATTGAGCTGAAACATGAAAGTAAGGTTTTACGGTAGCTCCATCCATTTTGAAATTTTTATTTCTGGAATTTTCTTTTTTCACCGTTGCCATTTTTCTGAATGACACATACATAAACACCACACTCTGGTAACATAATTATACTCTTTTTCTTCCCTCCTCTTACCGCAAAAACAGTAATTACTCACACTGTTGAACACATGTTGCATATTCTTGCTTCCATACTTTTTCTTTTTTCTCTGCTTCTCTATCTCTCTTTATCTCTCTTTTCATGTTCCAGTATCCCAAAAACAGTAGGTGGAGCTTCACTTCCTCTCTCTGCGTCTCTTCCGATTCTCCACTCTCTCCCTCCATCATAAGCCCCGCCCCCATTTTTTCCCTCCGTTGGGGCATGTGTTTGTGTATGTGTGTCCCCTCTCTCCCTCGTCTTTTTTCGGCTTTTCTTCGTTCAATTTTTTTGGGAAAAAAAACTTTTTTTTGTTCACATACGTTTTTTTGTTCGTTTTTTTCTCTGCATCTCTCATCTCTTATCAGCTGATATGATACGAATTGAGGGGATGATAACGCACCAACCACTTGGTTTTTTTGCAGTCCGCTGTCTATTTTTCTCTGGTTTCTTTTGGTCGTCTCGAAGACAGTTTTTTCCACTCGAATCCAAAAATGGGCGGCCGGAGCAACAACACAACAGCCGCCCAACAGAATTCCATTCTTCGAATTGTCGTCGTCGGCGGTGGTGGCGTTGGAAAATCAGCACTTACTATACAGTTTATACAGGTTCGTTTTTTTTTGGCTTTTTTGGGATTATGAATGACAGCAAAATGGGGTAGAGGGATTAGTATAAAAAGATTATTGCCCAGTGGATAAAAATCTGTCTGTGTGTCTGTTTATCCAAAAAATCAAAAAAATTAAAAAATCCCTGAAGATATCTGATAGTCTAAAAAATCGAAAAGAATGTTAATTGTTTAAGGTCTTCTGAATTTTTGTGACTTTTATTTTAGAAAGATTTTTCAGAATACGATTTTTCAGAATATGAAGTCTGAAATTTTACTTTAATATTCTAGTAAAAATTTGTTTTTGAGAATTCTAGAATTGTCAAATTTTGGATTTTTAAAAATTTGGATTTCTAAAACTTTCAATTTTTAAAGCCTGGATTCTTGAATTATAAAATCCAGAATTTATTTCATGATTTTCTGAATTGTGAGATTTTCGAATATTCAGGTTTCTTGGATTTTGGGATGTTGATATTTTTTGAAAATTCCTAAATGTATTTTTCAATTTCAGCTACACTGCAGGGTTCCAAAACAATTGTTCTATAATTTCTGTTCCATTTTTGACACGAATATTGAATAGAAAATATATAATTGATATTCAAATTTTCATGGCTTTTGGTTTTTTCAAACGCAAATCAAAAAATGAAAAGCCAAACCATCAAAAAATTTGCATTTTTCTATTGACGCGATTTTCGGGAACGCCAAAATCGAAGAAAAACGCAACTATTAACTTTGATCCCATATATCTCGGTTTCTGTAAAAGATACAAAAGAGTCATTAAGTGATAAAATGTTTATCATAATATCAGAAATATTTTGTTAGTTGACCACTTTTTGATATCTTCTAAAGGAACCGAGATATCTTTGCTCAAAGTTAGAAGTGAGGGAGTTCTTATCCCTTTTTCTATCTGTCAACTTTGAGCCATAATAACTACGTTACTGTAAGAGATGTAAAGAAGAAGTCCACTAATAAAATTCTTATCATAATATCAAAAATATTTTGATAGTTGACAACTTTTTGATATCTCTTATAGGAAATGAGATCATTGAACTCAAAGTGTACATATGGGCCAACTTTGATCTCAATTATGTCGGTTCCTGTCAAAGATATGAAAAAGTGGTCAAAAAATAATTTTAGTCAATTTCCAATAATCAGTACTAAATGTAGTTTCTATTCAAACGGTACACAAAAAATTGCTGCCAATCCAATTTCCTTAAAAGGCCTTTTTGCTTATTTTTCCCTCAATGAGTCACACCTTTTCTCTCCCTTGGTATTCAGAATGCCTTGTAAAGTCGTACAGTTTTATTTTTTCACAACAACGAACGAAACGAACATTTTACATTGAACACGACTGAAAAATATCGAAATTCGTGTCGCAATAATATGTTTCTCTCTCTCTCTCTCTCTCTCTCTCTCTCTCTATCGAGATGTGACGTTTTATGGAACACCTGTACATGAAGAATTTCTAGTCGACTCGACACTTTCCCAGATTTCTGACAATTGTGGTTTTTCTGGTGACTGGTGATGACCTTCACGTCTTCTGAATTCAATTCGCTTTTCAAAAGAGACAGAAGACCACAAACACAGGTGTGGGGAGGCAGATAGGTACAAACAAAAGATGATTAGGGGGTTGTGTATTGGACACAGAGAGAAACAGAGGGGAAAAAAGAGAATGGCAAGCAGCAGCAACCAGGCGGTAACATGATAATGAGTTGGAAGACGAAAGACATTGATTTTCATTAGTTTACAGGGTGGTACTTGAGAAAAGGGCAATTGAAATTGGATACCGAATTTAGAGAGGTCTAGGGAATCATTACAGGGTTTGGTAACCATTACATGGTCTTAAAAATTAGTGAAATTTCAAAACCAGTGCAAACTGAGAATTCTAAATCGTCTCAAGAACATGGTCGGATTTGAAAAGCAGGGAGTTTTCAGTTTCCATAAAAGCCAGCCCACCGTATACGTGCACTTTGGGCACAATTATTTCGGTTCCTGTAAGAGATATCAAAATGTTGTCAACTGATAAATTATTTATCAGAATATCAGTACATTTTTATAGTTTACCATCTTTTGATATCTATTATATGAACCGAGATATTTTAGATCAAATTTCAAGCTTTATTTAAGCGTTTTTTTTTGTGATTTCTACCCTTTGACCATAATTATCTCGGTTGCTATGAGAGATTCAAAACATATTTCAACTGATTAATTGTTTACCATAAAGTCACCAAAATGTTATTAGTCAGCATATTTTTGATATCTTTTACAGGATCCGAGATAATTAAGGTCAACGTGATACATATTAGAGAAAGTATGATCAATCAGCAAGAAGGCAAGAAATGGTTTTTTAAAAATGTTTAAAAATTTATTTTAATTCAGCCAAAAATACAAAAAATTTCCTTGAAATCCCACCTAAAACGACTCATTTAGCTCTTCTAGAAGCCGAGTCGTTTGAATTTTTGAGAGAGACGCAGACAGTTAGAGTGTCTCGTTGTCTGTGTCTCTAGCCTCTGAAACTTGTAATAGAGGTATCTCGGTTTCTAGAAACACTATAGAAACAAGAGTTGAGAGTTTAAATTGAGCCGATTTTTTAAAATGATCTGTAGATGCCCAATATGTGCAGATACCCAATACGTGCACTTTGAGCTCAATTATCTCGTCCCCTGTATAAGATATTAAGAATGTGTCAACTGATAAAATGTTTGTGATATTATGATAAAAAATTCATCTGTTGACAACTTTTTCATAACCTCAACAGTAAGTGAGATATAGTGGCTCAAAGTTACGGTATCTGAAATTCTCAAATTCTCCGCCCCCTGTTTTGCCCAATGTTTCCATATTTGATCAAATTTGCTCTTTCCCGAAATACCATAATCCTTCCAATTCAAAACCTAACTTTTTGGGTAAACTATTCCTTTCAAAAACTTCCAGTTGTTCTCACCTCCTCCTCCCCATTTCTTTACCTTTCCAAATTCTCAAATTTCACTCCAAAATGAAAATTTTACCCGTCTCTTTCTTCTAAGCTTTAACCCCTATACTCTCTTTCCCCTCTCCTCCGATCGCGCTCATTTTTTGCTTCGTCCCGAAAATAATCCATCCGTTTTCTGTGGTGTTGGAAGAGAGAGAGAGAGAGAGAGAGAGAGAGAGAGAGAGAGAGAGAGAGAGAGAGAGAGAGAGAGAGAGAGAGAGAGAGAGAGAGGCGTGATTCTCATGTGTTTGTGTCCTTCTTCCCGGGAGAAGAAGGAAAAAAGAGAGAAACACGAAACAGTCAAAAAGGGAGAGAACCCGAAAAAATAAGAACTGCAATACAAGAAAGTAGACTGTAGAATGTTTGTGCAAGTCCTGTGTATTTGTGTCCCTGTTATACTGTGTAGTACTGTGGGGAGAGACAGTGAGAAATGCTCTTGAACGGGATTGGGTGATGGGAAAATTTTATGGAGAGAAAATAGGAAGATAGTGGAGGCGTGGGAAAATTAAAGGGATTAGAAATCTGATAATTTGGGTGTTCTAGAGAAATTTATAGCCATATCAGCTACGAATGGCTTAATTGCTCTGAGAAGTTAATTAAAATTTTCTAGAGATTGATACCGAAAAACCTGCAATAGAAGGGCCCTCTAATCTTCAACTTCAATCGTTTTGATCTCCGTTCATGTAAGAGATATTAACAAGTGGTCAACTGACAAAGTGTTTTTTTAATATTTTGATAAACATTCTATTAATTGATAACTTTTTTCTATATCTTTTACAGGAAGTAATTTATATGTGCTCAAAGTTAACAGATAAAAAACTGAAGTACCGTATTTTCTCTAATAAAATCTCATCCAATCCGTCAAATTTGAGCTCAATCATCTCGGTTTTATCACGAGATATCAAAAAGTGGTCAACTGACAAAATGTTAGTTATAATATCACCAATATTTTTTTTGTTGACACATTTTTAATATCTTTTACAGTTAATGAGAAAATTCAGCTCAAACGAGGAAGTGGGGACCTTTCTATTACAGATTTTAGGTCATTTACATTTACTGAATTTGAAACCAAAGCTTATAAAACTTGTCTACTTTGAATTAATAACAATTTAGACATTAAAATAAATAAATTACTAAATTTTCGTCTACAAAAACACTTTTTTCAGCGCTACTTCGTCCAGGACTACGACCCGACCATCGAGGATTCCTACACCAAACAATGCTTTGTAGATGAGGATCTGTGTAAATTAGAAAGTAAGTTTATTGGATGTTTTGGGGGCTCGGATACTTTGAGGTTCAGGTTTCTGGTACCCCAATTTCTTAATACCGTAAAATCCCCGCACCCTGACCGTCAACTTCGAGCTACCGTAAATGCTCTAATAGACACCCTATACCCACCCTATACCCGCGCTTTGAGCTCAATTATCTCGCTTTCTGTGAAAGAAATGAAAATTTAGTTAACTGATAAAACAATGGCGATAATATGATGAATAATGTATCAGTTGACATATTATGGTAGCTGTCATAGGACCAGAGAGAATTGAGCTCGAAGTGCAAACTCTATTTTAGCGTTTTACTGCTATACTTTTTTGACGTATATTCCTTGATTTTAATTATCTCGGCTCTTATCAGAGATATCAAAAATTAGTTAACTAATGAAATATTTCTGATATTATGATGAATAATTTATCAGTTGACCACTTTTTGATATTTTCAATAGGAACTGAGAAACATTCGGTCAAAGTTAACAGACCGGCCGCTTCCAAAATCCGGCAACGATCGGCTGTTGTTTAGATCAGCCTTGGGGGTCATTTTTTTAGAAATTTTATAGTGTGTACTTTTGAAAATTCACAAATTTCCTATTTTTCAGTTCTGGACACTGCTGGACAGGAAGAGTTCTCCACAATGCGCGAACAGTACCTGAGGACAGGAAGTGGATTTCTAATCGTGTTCGCTGTTACAGATAGGAATAGGTGAGTGGTTATCAGTGGAGCGTATTTCCTAGCCTCTAAATATTTGATTATGATGCTCTCCTTCTGTTTTTCTATGTCTCTAATGACATCTCTCTCATCCCAAAGTTCATCTCTCTCCCGTTCTATTTGACCAAAAGACATGCCGCCAGGGCCAAACACAGCACTCGATGACATTTTTCGAAAAATACACAAGAAAACATAAGAATGCATGATGAGCGATTGTCTTGACCCGAAAGCCTAGGGGGCGAGGGGAAAAAGAAGAAGAAGAAGCTTTTTGAAACATTTGGAGTAAGCGAGGGGAGTGATAAATGCCCCGATATTTTTCATATAACACACACAGCAGGAGGGGAACCGAAAAACTATTCATAAGGATTCCTATAGGTATCTATCTTATTGGAATTTCAAATTTTCCTTGATATTAATAACTGTAAAACGATTTTAATTAGTCTAGAACCTAGATGTACATAAAGATTGGAGAATCGTATTGGGGAAGAACTAGAGGAGATAAATATCGCCGAAAGGAAATTTCGGTTGTCTCAATTAGTGAAATGATGATGTTCAATCAGTGGAAACCACGCCCATTTAGATAGTTTTTGGAAATTTGTGGCCATTTTGGTTTTGGTCATTAATGTTCCTTGAAGACATCCTAACCGATACTTCTGAAATGTAGTCAAAAATTTTCTTCTAATAGAGCTCCTAGGACTACGAAAAATACCGTAAACGCTTTTATGGAAGGCCACCCTATACGTTCATTTTGAGCTCAATTGTCTCGGTTCCTATGAAAGTTAACAAGAATTTGTCAACTGATAAAATATTGATGATATTATGATAAATAATTTATCAGTTGAAAATTTTTTTTTGATATCTTTTGAAGGAAACGAGATAATCAAGTTCAATGTTGCGCATAAGCCTCAATCTTAGCAATTACGGAAATTTGAGAGTTATGAAAATATAGGCTAACGCTACCAGATTGATCTGAAGTTTTCAAAATTTATGAAACACAACTAGTTCTTCGATTTTTATTTCCCAACATTTTCTAACTGTCCTAGTTTTAGAGATATGCGCCTTAGAAAACCCCGTATTTCCACTAATAGAAGCCCATCCAAACCGTCAACTTTGAGCTCATATATCTCACTTCTTGTTGAAGATATTGAAATTCTTTAAATTAATAAATTTGTTATCAAAATATCACAATTATTTTATCAGTGGGCACTTTTTTGCTATCTCTCATACGGACCGAGATGATTTAGCTTAAAGTAGACGAATCGGGTGGGCCTCTATTACAGCAAATACCGCATGTACCATCCAAAATAATGAGCCTATCAAAGACGCATATCTCAGAAACCAAAAATTTTAATTTTTCCAACAACTCTTTTTTTCGAAAACTATAAAGTTTCATAAAATTTTCCAAGAAATTCCTCTTTCTGAACAACAAAACCATATTTTATGATTTTGGGGTCCCTTCCAATAAAATTTGTTCATTCCCCTCCCCATATCCATTCCCTCTAATTCTCGATTCAGAAGAGCTCACCCATCTTTGGCCGTGCCCAAAATAACAGAAAAATTTGTTTACACGTCTTCTTCTGACGTCTTCTATTTTGCTCTCCACATATCCACTTTGTTCTGTTGACACTTACACCCAAATATGAACTGGCACATTTTTTGTGTTGAAAAAAAAACTTCTGGTTTTAGGGACTTTTTGAAAATTTGTATAGCAATTTTTGCTTCTGAAGAGGATTCTGTAGATCAAAAGAAGCCGCGTCTCTTCTTCTTTTTTCTAATATTTATTTCAATAAAACCACCTGCTACTACTATATAATTTTGTTTTAAAAGAGAAATGACCTTGTCTCTCGGAGGGGGCGGAAAATTACTAAAAGGGGGCGAGATATCAAATGACTCATTTTATGATAGGTTAATCGTTTTTATGAACGTGCGCACCATCCGAGACACAATTCATAAGAGAAAATGTCATCTGTTTTTAGGTATTTTGAATTTTATCTTCCTTATGTTGATGTGATAGGGGAGGGACCAGAAGGGTTTCAAGAAATTTGTGAAATACAGAATGAAGATGTTACAGAGTGTATCTCGTCTTGAAAACATTTTTGGATCAGCTTTCATTTTTGATTCATAAATAATCTCAAAATTCACTTCAAACCCTACAATTCTCTTTAAAAACCAACTTCCCAGCTCGTCTAGAACTCGAGATATAGTCATTTGAAGTTTCCGAGGTTAGAGACGCAGCGTGTCTCGTTGTCTGCGTCTCTAGCCTCCTTGAAGCCGCTCTATCTCAGTTCTTAGAAGCGCTAGAATGGTGATTTTTAGACAAATTGTTAGGAGATGTTGCCTTTTTTCTGTTTAACGGCACCATGATATCCGGACTAAAGTTTGTACTTGCATAACATTTGAAAAAAAGCGTTGTCATGGACTCAAATTTCTAGTGTTAAAATGAGAATAGTTCATCAGTAAACTGGCTATTTCAATTTATTTGATCATCTTTGAACTGAGTTATCGCTTGTCAAAGTTGCTTCATCTCATGGAAATCACAGTTACAACGTTTATCCTTGGGTAAGACTGTGTAAAACGCGGCAACGGGCGGCCGCGGCCGAGGCCGTGGGTAGGCTACTGTGGACCAATCCGGCTGTCCTTTTGAAATTGAGCTCAGCTACCCAGAAACTACTAGGGCCGCTAGGCCGCCGTACCCTACCTATCTCAGAAGTACCCTTTTCAGAATGCCGCGGCCGACCGTGGCACATCCTTGTCTTTGGGTAATCATAACAATACCTCGACTTGAGGAATCACTTTGAAAGTTTCAGTAGCTTTGAATCAAACGTAAATTTACATTTCTACCAATTTTCGTGCTTTCCAAATACTTATATCTAAAGATACACCCGCTTTTATCAGTACGGGTAGTTGTGCGCCATACTGTAGTTCAAAGCACCATTTTTAAATCCCACAATTCCGTAATTTTCACTAGAAATTAAACACTTGCTTAGTACAAGCCACAAAAATCATTGAAATTCCTCCAATAATCTAATTTTTTCAGCTTCGAGGAAGTCAAAAAGCTGCACGAGCTGATATGTCGAATTAAGGATCGAGACGATTTTCCGATAATTTTGGTGGGCAATAAGGCGGATTTGGAAAACGAGAGACATGTGAGTTTTTATTGGAATTCGTGAAATGGGACAATTTGGAGCCAATTTTGCAGAAGTTGAATGAAAAGTTAGAGTATTTCCTCTATGAGAAGCCCACTCAAGCTGTTAACTTTGAGCCCACACAACTCATTTCCCGTGAAAGATATCAAAAAGAGGTTAACTGATAAATTGTGTATCATAATATTACAAACATTTTATCAGTTGACAAATGTTTTATATCTTTAACAAGAGCCGAGATAAATTGGCTCAAAGTTGAAAGTTAGGAGGAAAAATTGCACTTTTATCTAGAAGTCCTCTTCATAAAACCCTTGACATCATCACTTTATTTCTCTCTATTTTGTCTCATTTTCTTACTCCAAAAATCCCATAAAACCCCAACTATAAAATGCCAAAGATTCTTCTAGACATACACACATAAAATTCGCAACATTTTCTTTCTCCTTCAACACACGCTCTTCCTCTTTTTCTTATTCTCTTTCTCTTTTTTTCGAATTGGAGCTCAAATTCAAAAAGAAAGAAATAAGACAGATAGAGAATGATGGGGATCGGAAGCTACCCAACAAAAATAAAAGAGTTTTGGAGGAATTTATGGGGAATCGGAAGAGGTAGTACATATACGAAAAAAATAGGAAGTCAAGAGGTCTTTTTGAATTTCTTTTGGAATTCAAAAAATAGGGGACCGAATTTTTTCGTTGGTTTTTCTTCTGGAATTTGGTTCAAAGTTGTCTTGATCCAAAACTACAGTAATCTTTCTAAACAAACACTTTATATTTTTTGTTCTGACGCCTTTTTTGATGCTCAAAAAAGAGTGAAGAGTGCACACTTGAAACATGCACAAAAACACTCAAAACACGTGTGTGTCTTTTACTAAATACATAATCCGAAACATGTGCAGAGAGAGAATTTTGGCGCCATCTCTTCTTACGAATTAAAATATTAATATTATTTTTGGGGGTTAGGGGTAGGGTTAGGGTTTCAGAAAGCCTTTCGCCAATTCAACTAGGTAGTTATGATTTGGGGTTTTTGATAAAAGATTCAAATCAGATTTTTAAATCCAGTCAGCTATTTAAGATGTAACTCGGAATTTTCGAAATTTTACAAAAATCAAAGATAATTTAGAGCGAAAATAGGAACATGAATAACCGTAAGCACTTTAATAGATCGCCCTCTGAATCGTCAACTTGAAGCCCATATATCTCGATTTCTGTAAAAGATATGAAAAAGTTGGCAACTGATAAATACAAACATTTTATCAGTTGACGTATTTCTGATATCTTTCACAGATATGGAGATAATTAAGCTCAAACTCGACAGTGTGTGAGGCATATTACAGGTTTCAAAACAAATTTTTTAGTTCTTTACGATCAAAGCGTTTATTAGGTTGAAAAGAAATCTTCAATATCAAAATTGTTCATTTCAATATTTGAAAATTGTTGAATTCTGTGCAGAAAATCTAAACTCCAAAATCTTTCAGGTCGCTCGCCATGAAGCTGAAGAACTCGCCCACCGTCTCGCCATTCCCTATCTCGAATGTTCGGCGAAACTCCGGAAAAATGTTGATGAAGCATTTTTCGATATTGTTCGACTTGTCAGGTAAGTATTATATTTGAGTTTAAAAAGCTCAAAATCAGATACCGTATATTCTCTAAGCCCACCCAAACCATCACCTTGGAGCTCCATTACCATGATTCCTGTAGAAGATATAAAAAATTTGTCAACTGATAAAATATTGGTGGTTTTATGATTAATATATTATCAGTTAAAAATGTTTGGTATCTTTCACAGGAAGCGAGATAACTGAGCTCAAAGATGACGGGCTGGGTGAGCTTCTATTAGATGGAATACGGTCGCACAAAATCAGACAACAGCTTAAGAAATTTGGAACGTGGAAACTCTATTCAAATTAGAATTTTCGAATCAATTGAAAATCGAACAATGCGATTCGCTGGATCATTGGGAATCTATTGATCTAGTATTTCAGAGTTAACAACGTTTCGAAAAATGTCTGAAATTCCAAAATTTCCAGAAAATACCAACATGACGAACGAATGCCAGTACACACCCATGACGATCGTAAACTCGAGTCGCCAATAAAACTGAAGAAAAAGAAAAACTGCAGGATTCAATAATCACAATACATATATTTTTATTTCCAGTCCGATCCGACTATCCGATTGTTGCAATTTTTGCAATTTCCAAAAGTCGGATCAGTCGAATCGGAGAGTTAATCCTTCATGACTTTCAGCATTTTCTAAATCATTTATTTTCCTAAAAACACACTCCTGCCTTTTGAATTCTCTCTGTCTCTCTCTCTCTCTCCATTTGCAAAACGGGATTTTCTTGGTTTTCTATATTGCTTTTTTTCCAAATTTCTTTTTTGTACAGTTCTTTTTTCTATTTTACAATTATTTATTTTTCATATCCCAGTTATTTCTATCCTTCATTCTAGTTTATCCCGAGTACAAACCCTCCAATTAAAGAGCCCCCGGACCAAATGCGCCCCACCGAATATACGGTAGAGTGCGCTTGCCTTCTCCCCCTCCAATTTGATAATTCTGTTAACTTCTACCCCGGTCGAGAATTAACCCAGTAACAGAAAAATGAATAAATATAATTTGAAATGTTTTATTGGGTTTAAAAAATCAAGTTCCATTAGGCTCCGCCCCTTTTGCTTCAGATCCAACGACAGTCTTCACCACTTGAACGGCTTCTCGAGTCGATGGAGACGCTTGAATTGCAGAATCTTTCAGAACTTTCTCACGACTTCCGCTTCGTGATCTGGACTTGCTGATCTGAAAAAAGTAGAAAAAATATATTGAATTGAAAAAGAAGCAACCGACATGTTTGACCGCATTCATAGCGTTTTTCAACATTTTCTTTTGTGATTTTTGTGATGCACAAGTGCTGGAAGGAATAATAGTAGTCCGATTTGAGTTGGCCAGAAGTAGGCTGGCCACAACAGCGTTTTCTGGCGCCACGCGCCGCTTTTAATTTAATTTTTTACAGGTTTTTAAAATATGAACTTTTCAATAAAAAATAATTCATAAAGAAAAGATTGAAAAAGAAAAAAAAACGACAGATGATCCGAAACAGGGAAATGGAATGAAATTGATATTTTTAGATCTTCCAAATGTTTGACTACTTCTAGAATTCTGTTTGAAATTCTGAAAATCTGGTGACTGAATCTTCTGAAATTTCAAATTTTCAGAATTTTAAAAAGTATGATTTGTGTGATTTTAAAAATTTATGGATTTCATGAAACTCTATACTTGCCTGAAAATTTCCGAACTTCGAATTTTCATAGTTTTTCGAGAACTATTTTTGGAGTGTCTGTACTGTCGTGCTTTACATTTTGGAACGATCGAAAATTTCTAAATTCCTAAATTTTCGAAATTAAAAATGCCCAGATTTCTGAACTTCGGAGTTTTCCAATCCTGCATTCTGAAGTCCCGAAAATCAAAGTTTACAACTTTAAAATCTTAAAGCCGGAACAAATACTTTTGAACCTCGTTCCAGACATAATCACAATAACTATTAATGGAACACAAGTGGTAACTTCTCAAATACCAAATTCGTTCTAACATTTTATAATACACATTATCTCCCTTTAAACTCAATTATCTGACTTCTTGTCAAACATATGACAAAACTTTTAACGGCCAAAATGTTGTTCTTGACATTTGGGGCACTTATCAGTTGACAGTTTGCTGCTATCTTTAATAAGAACTGAGATAATTAAAAGTGAAGCTAGAGTGAGAGGATATTGGTGAATCAAAAGGTAAATTCTATTCTCAAAAAGAAAGCGGCCTTTGACGCCGGTTTAAATTTTAAACAGGCAAATATTGCCTGCTTAAAAATTTAGCTGGCTTCGAATCACGTGAAATTGAAAGGCCCATAGCTCTGGCACTGGCGGCCAGCAACAACCCTACTTGAAACAACTACTGAGTATTTTTTTAACTGTTGAAGTTTAACCACCTGGTTTTTCAGTTCTGAAAGTCCCGCATCGTCTTGATTTTCCGGAAGTTTTCTTATTTTTTGGAACTTCCAATTTTAATGGATTCGTCGAATTTTTCGGAATTTTCACACTTTTCTAATTTGTGGGTTTCCGAAAGATATTTATGTTCTGTGGTTGCGATGTTTTGAAAACAATGCTCATTTATTTGTCTAAAAGTTATGGACAACGCTTTCATATAAAACAGAGGATAAAACATTACAAACACAAATTATCAAAAATCGGCGATTTCAAAAATATAGCTCAACATTGCAAATCGTATCATCCAGCTGCTCAAATTCTACGGCACTGATTGGGTGTTTACTGTTGGGGCAGAACAAGATTCCGTTCTAAAAATTGATTTTTTTTCAATGTTGCTGCTCACTTCAACATTTCTATCACTCACTTCATCGTATCTAACGTACAGCCTATTCCAAAATATTTTCAGAAATTCGGTTTCAATGCGATCGTCCTTGTCGCACTTTTGATTTTTGATGAAGAGATCGCACAAAAGTTCAGCCCCGAAAGCGTAGTTGCTTGGTAAACTGTCATCTGTTCTATTTGATCGGAATTTCCAGATTGTTTCTTTATATTTGATTCTAACAGTCCCAACGATTCGCCCAAATTTCTTTTCCACAACCCTTTTTAATCGAGTCTTTGACAGTAGCCAACATGAACAACAATGTTTCGATAGCAGTTCGCTTATCATTCAAAGTAGAGACAAATTCGCAGAATCCAGCAAACTTCTTCCAATTCCTCTTCAAATCAACCAATTCTCTCATCAAATCAGCATCGCTCGCAATTTTCAGAATTTCATTCAAATTTTGAATCAGACCCGAGTGTTTTTTTGAGAACTGATTCCACATCCCCTTTGCTTGGGATTGCTTCCGATCTCACAGTGAAGAAACGTTTAATTATTCTTGATCCGATTGATCTGAAAAGTTTCGTCGTAAATAAAATTCTAGATTCAAAAAATTTCAGAGAAAGGTTAAATTCGTTCTGTTTCCAATATTTGAAAATTGCTTTTTTTTAATTCCAAATCTCTTACTAGTCTCTTACTAGTTAGGTTTTTAGATTCCTAGAATTAAATTGAAAAGAAGAACTGCTTCAAGAATCAAATATTCAAATTTCTAATTTTCGGATCGTTAAACTATTGATCCTCCGAACTTTCAAACTTTTGGATTTTCGAATTTCCGAGTTTTTAAATTAGTGATTATGAAACTATATATGGGTTTCGAACTGTTTTCGCAGATTACTGTTTTTCTCCGAATCCAAAAATAACTTTCAAAAAAAAAATTAAGTGAACTCGGAATCTTAGATGTTTCGAAAGTTTTTTTTATTAATTACATATGAGCATATTGGATTATCAACACGGAATCCAAGAATCCCAATGATCCGGAAAATTTAAAATGAATCCCTAGACTCCTGAGGATGCTAAAATTCAAAAATTCAAGAATCTCAAGAATCCCAGAAACCCCAGGGAAAAACTTACAGTGGTTGCTGCTGACCAGAGTGTCCGCAATTGGCACATTGCTGAGCTTGTTGTTGCCACTGATGAACTTGCTGAACAGTCTCGACTTGCTCAATCTGATGTGGTGGCATCATATTCACCATATGGTACATCGGAATGACCATTGTCAACTTTTTAGGTGTTCAATCTTAGAAATTTCACAAAAAAGAAACTCACTATCCATCCGGGGAGGGTGGAAGTGAGGCAATCAGCTGCACGAGACGAATTCGGACACGATCCAAGACTTGGTCGGTGTTGGGTAATGACATTCTGGAAACCAAGAAAATTAAGGGACGTCTAGTCAAAGAAATGTTACAGTACTCCAAAACAACCAAAGGACACGAAAGTGCCGCATTTGCTCAAATAGAAGCCCATCCTATATGTACACATTGAGCCCAATTATTTCAATTCATGGGAGATATATCAAAAATCTGCCAACTGATAAACTATTTATCATACTGTCACCAATATTTTATCAGTTGACATATTTCAGATATCTCTCATATGTTACGAGAAAAATGAATTCAAAGTGCACATAGGCTTGTTGTGAGGGCAAACACGGTATCTGAAAACGAGCGAAAAAACCATAATTTCAATGAAAAGGAGAAAAATGGTGACAACCGTAAAATCCTTTTTTTTTCGACAGTTTCATAATGGCGGGTTCTATTTTATCTTCAGGAAATTCTGGTAGATCAAAATTAAATAAATTTTTATAGATCAAATTTGAAAATCAGTTGTTTATTCTTGGGTTGGTTTACTGTAGATCTTTACTATTAAGACGCTTTCTCTGTCAGAACCGAAAATAGTACTGTACGTACAGCTGTACAGACAAAATCAAACTAGTTTTTAAGCATTGAAATTATATACATTGTAAGTCGGGACACTTCTAACAATACGATAAAAATGCATATTTGGTTTGGATCCATCTAGTCTGTGAAAACTTTGACCAATTCTGGTTAGAAAATGAAAGTTTTTCTCAATGGAGATAATGATTTGGTATAACTTGGAATTGCTCTAATTTGGAATTCCATTTTTATGATGCACACTTTATTAGAGAGAATACGATGTGTAGCTTTTTGCAGCTGTTATTTCCTTTTTTTTTCTTTGTTTAAAAATCATATTTCAACGAATGGAAATGGAACCTCTAACACGTGAATTGCATATTAATTTAGAAGAGTTAACAGAGACATAAAAAACATTTTATCAGTTGACCACTTTTTGATATCTCTAACTGGAAAAGAGGGAAATTGGTTCAAATGTATTTGGACTCTCCTAATATAGAATTGATGATTGAAAAATAGAAATCGACGATTTTGAATATAGCTTGAAAAAATGAGCTTGCTAGATGTCTTGCCTACTGAAAACTTGGAAAGTGGAAAAGCCCTTGGAAAGCTGAACTTTGGAGCAAAGATAGGAGTACATGGTGGGGCAAAAGTTCTGCAACCCAAGTTTGACTTAAGCTGGCGCCTGCTGACACACTTTTCGTGCATTGATTTTATGTTTACATTTTTGCCAGGCTCTTCATTAGTAAATGCTTTCTCCAGTTGAATGGAGTCGGCATCCAGTTGGCTTCTGGTATGATCCCAGATACCAAACTACCAACAGTGCAGTATGGTGAGGAAGCTTTATGGTCTGGGGTGCCTTTTCCGCGATAGGCATTGGTCCGATCCACCGCATCACAGCTATCATGAATTGCCACGTCTACAAGAATATCCTAGAATCCCAAATTTCTGTCAGATTACAAAGACATGGGTCGTTAGATCATTTTTCAATCGGACAATGATCCAAAACACACCTCCAAATTTGTCAAGGTACAAAGGATTCCATTTTTTTCGATAATTTTGGATTCTTGGATTGGCTCTCGAGCCCTAGGATTCGCGTTATGGACTGGTCCAGTCCGTCCCAAGACTTTAATCCAATCGAGAATCTGTGGGGAAACTTGGAAAAAAGATTTACAGAAAAAAAAACCAGAAAATGTGGACGAGAAGTACCAAAAACTGGAATAAGGTACCACAGTCAGTAATCGACACTTTGCTCGACTCTATGCAGCGCCGAAGTCCGGCTGTTATTAAGTCTCATGGCTTTGAAACAAATTACTGGGCCCATTTTGTTAGTTTAAAGAGGTTATGTGCTGAATAGAAGCGTTTTTCGAAAGTTATGATTTTTGAAAAATTAAGGTCAAAATTGGATTTTTTCGAAAATTCAATTTTTGTCCTAAAAAATTTATTTTTCCATATTTTTGTAAAATTGTCAACTGCCAAAATGTTTTTCCTGACATTTGGAGCATTTTATCAGTTGACCGTTTGCTGCTATCTTTCATAAGAACTAAGATAATTAAAAGTGAAGCTAGAGTGAGAGGATATTGGTGAATCAAAAGGTAAATTCTATTCTCCAAAAGAAAACGGCGTTTGACGCCGGTTTAAATTTTAAACAGGCAAATATTGCCTGCTTAAAAATTTAGCAGAGCTCTGGCACTGGCGGCCGTCAACAACCCTAGCCAGAAGTATGAAAAAAACCTGGAAAGTGCGAAAACACGTGATTTTTTAAAGTAGTTCATTGAGCAATAACATTTTTTAGAGCTTGAACACATACAGTACCAGTCAAAATGATCTACAAAACCGTATTTTTCAGTGGATTTTGACCGTTATGAGGAGTCTGTAGCTCGGCTGTCAAGTGTTGGAACACTTTGAAAATTTTGGAGGGTGTAAAACAGATTTATATTGAAAAAGTTGCATTCACAGCATTTTTGAAAATTCCTAGTTTTTCAGATATCTGCCGATTTTTAATATAACCTTTTTTGATCCGTTTTTGTACTGAAAACATGAAAAACGGGTGTCTTATAGGAATCGGCAAATTCTTGAAACACCAGGAATTCCTAAAATATTCTGCGGGAGCAAATCAAAACGGAATTTAAAAAAGTAGAATAGAGATAATTGAAACAATTTGAAAAAAATAGATATGAGATAAAACTTGGTAAAATTTCAACAGAATGGTCAAAGTCCACAATTTGAAAAATTTGAAAAAGGATATGACAAAAAAATTAGGACAAGAGTTGGGGAAAGATCTTGATGAGACTTTTTTTTGAGATTTTGAAGGACAGAGTAGGAAAAAACAACAAAAATTTAATGCGGTAAATCCGTCGGGCTTTCAATGACAACTTCTTCTGGCAACCTTTTTGGCATTTTCCGTCCTTTCTGTCCCCATTTCAGTTGACCGTTTTCTGCTATCTTTCATAAGAACTAAGATAATTAAAAGTGAAGCTAGAGTGAGAGGATATTGGTGAATCAAAAGGTAAATTCTATTCTCAAAAAGAAAGCGGCCTTTGACGCCGGTTTAAATTTTAAACAGGCAAATATTGCCTGCTTAAAAATTTAGCTGGCTTCGAATCACGTGAAATTGAAAGGCCCATAGCTCTGGCACTGGCGGCCAGCAACAACCCTACTTGAAACAACTACTGAGTATTTTTTTAACTGTTGAAGTTTAACCACCTGGTTTTTCAGTTCTGAAAGTCCCGCATCGTCTTGATTTTCCGGAAGTTTTCTTATTTTTTGGAACTTCCAATTTTAATGGATTCGTCGAATTTTTCGGAATTTTCACACTTTTCTAATTTGTGGGTTTCCGAAAGATATTTATGTTCTGTGGTTGCGATGTTTTGAAAACAATGCTCATTTATTTGTCTAAAAGTTATGGACAACGCTTTCATATAAAACAGAGGATAAAACATTACAAACACAAATTATCAAAAATCGGCGATTTCAAAAATATAGCTCAACATTGCAAATCGTATCATCCAGCTGCTCAAATTCTACGGCACTGATTGGGTGTTTACTGTTGGGGCAGAACAAGATTCCGTTCTAAAAATTGATTTTTTTTTCAGCCCTGAAAGCAGTTTTAGTTACCTCGTCCACTCCGTGATTGACATTCATAGTGGAGTGTACAAACATCAGTCTCATGATTTGTAACCTGAAAAACTATAAGACACTAAAACACAGAATTCCTATAAAACACTATTTATTGAATCAACAATAAATCACTATAAAATCTTTAAAACCAGTGAGCCACACTTTAACGGGCCGTCACCAATCGTGAGCGAACACCAGCGAAAACTAAAGAAAACGATGAGAATTTGCCGAGAGAGGAGACGCGTTTTGGCGCGCACACAGTTTCGCGCGCGGATACAGTAATCCACACCTCTTGCACGTGTGTTCAGGGGAGATTTCTCTCCTTTAGACTTGGAAAGAGGATTTTAAAAGAGAAAACACGGTAGAATACCGTACAAAAAAATGTCTGAGATAATCGATACAAGCAATCTTTGCTGTATGCGTTGCCTCTACGTCTCTTGGTCCCTCAGAGGGACAAACAGAGGATAGTGGTGAGGACGATGTTCGTGACACGACGGGTCTCACACATGTAATTAGAAAAAAGAGAGGAGGACGAAGAAAAATCATCTAGATGGCAAGGAAAAGAAAGGGGATGGTGGAATTCACACGGTTTTGGACACCTAGGAGATGGAACGTCTCTGGGAGGAAACGACAAACTAAATCAGGAGAGAGAGGGAATCGAAGGCAGATGTGGTTTTAGATTTTCCAGAAAGTTGTGCTGACGCTAAGATGGACTTATGCGTGCACCGGAGCCCGGGTCGTGGGTAGGTTGCCATGGACCAAGACGTCCTTTTGTTCGGAAACAAGATCAGCCGACCAGAAACTTTTGAGACCTCTAGACCGCCGAATCCTATACAGTACTTGTCAATTGGATATACAAAAACATATTTTTGCAGTTGATTTTCGGAAAAATTCTAGCTTTTCATTTATTTGTTTATTTCTGACAGATACCTGTTTTTTCAGTACAAAAACGGACCAAAGGGTGTCATTCAGAAGTCAGCAAATAGCTGAAAAACTAGGAACTTTTGCTCCAGACTTCTGAAAACTGTCAAAATTGCCGAAAATCAACAGAAAAATATGTTTTTTGTATACTAGTAATGTAACTGACAGAACTCCCAGAAACACTAACTGCTAAAAGACACTATTGAAAACAACGAGATGCAGAGAGAGTGAGAGACACACACACAAACGTTATGCACTCATAGAACCTCTATGCACTCAAAGACACCTTTGTAACCTGAAAAACTAGAAGACACTAAACACAGATTTCCTATAAAACACTATTTATTGAATCAACAATAAATCAACCTATTAAAGGTGAGTTAAAACAAATGGAGGCGTCACCAGTGTGAGCGCACCCCCAAGCCAGAACTGAAAAGGAAACGATGAGAGAGACCATGAGGGGAGATGCCCAGAGAAAACAGAGAAGTGCCTGTTGGCGCGCACTTTAAATTCGCGCGGGTTACTGTGACCCACTTTCGTTTGCATATATTTATCGGGAGAGATTTCTCTCCTGTAGACTTGGAAAGAGGGTGAAGAAGATAAAAACCGGTAACCTACCGGACATACTGTATATCCAAGAAATACAGTAACAAAAAAAATATGACCCTGTTTCAGGCAGCCATGGTTCCTCTTACGACAAGAGTCGTATAAATTATACGTGGCATACCGCCTGGCTTTGCCACGTGTACTTTCTGGCTCTTAGCACTTCCAAATACAAATCTCACGCAAAATTCGTCTTTACCGATTTTCCCGTAACCGCCAGATAAAATCTTCCCAAAAAAATTAGTCCATCTCTCTTCCCTCCCCTATAAATACCCGGCTCTTCAGTGGATTCAAATCAATTTTCAAACAACATCAGTTGACAACAAGGAGAACAAGATAAGCGACGATTAAAATGGAGCGAGTTTTGTAAGTCGCCCACGTGTCATTTATCCAATTCATCGATCTATTTCCAGTGGCACGAAAGGAAACAAAAGCAAAAACAAGACAACGACATCAAAGAAGCCACGTAAGAAGGACAAGACGAAGGACGATGGAGGAACGACGACAGAGGAAAGTCGTGACACAAAGAAACGGACTGGAAGAGAACTGGAAGATCCAGAAGAATCTGGAAGATCCAGAAGAATCTGGAAGATCCAGAAGGACTGGAAGAGGTGGAACGAATCGGACTCCTCGGGAGACCAAAGGATCCAAGGAAATGCAGTCTGCGACGCAGAAAAACGATTCGGGGAAGAAACAGAAGAAGTCGAAAAACAAGAAGGGGAAGAAGGATGCATCGGTGGATACGACGGAGAATCCGATGGCAAAGCTGAATGAGATGTTTAAGAATCTCGCTGGAGGGGTTAGTGTTTACCATCTGTGATCTAGAACCATGGCCGGCAGCTGGGCGGCGGCTGAAAAGCGGCTGCCGCGTTTTGCTGTGAAGCTGGCTCTCGGCTTCCAAGATTTCGGATCCTGCATTTTTTTTAAAAAACGCTCAATGCGTTTTAAATTAAATACGTTAAAACTGTTACTTTTAAAAACTCTGAGAATTGGGAAAAAAATCCTAAAAATTTTGAGAATTAAAACAAAATCGAAATATAACCCAATTTGTTTGCTTAATCGTATCTACACACCAGGGGGCACTTTTCACGCTGAGCCTTTTTACGAAATTGTTTCACACAGTTTTTCCGTGACATTCCAAAGAAATAAGAGCCAATAAAAAAAATGAGAAACGTGGATCCACAGTATTCGCATGATGCGAATTATAGTGAATTCAAATTTATTCCCCTCAAGATAGAAAGATACTACCCCAAACGTCGAATCAGCATTAAATACAAAAAAATCAGCAACTTAAATCAGCGTATACTAAAAACGAGGCCCCTAGAAGTAAAATCAGCCATTAAGAATTATTTCAACTTCTAAAAAGTAGGCTTAGCCTTTAAAAAGCAGGTTTACCTCACACACACTCTTAAAAATCAGGCTTAGAAAGAAAAAATATACCGTAAAACCTGTATTAGAATGGCTCCTTTAATAGAAGGGTCACTCTAATAGAAGGGCCCCCCGAGAGGGACTTGGAAAAATAGAAGGGCCCTCTTTAATAGAAGGGCCCCGTAATATAAGGACCCTCTGTGAAAAAGGACCCCCTTCAAAATGTGTTTTGAAATTAGAAAATTTCCGTACTTCTTCAGTGGAAAATTTAATAGAAATTTGTTGAAATTCAATTTTAAAAATAGTATTTTTCGATTAAAATCTTGCAAAATTTTGGCGAAATTGGCAGATTTTCATGAATTTTGAATGAAACTTCGTCGAATTTTTCGATGCAAAATTTCTGAAAAAACTAGCCGGAAAAATAGAAGGGCCCCTCTCATTGAAGGGCCGCTGTAATAGAAAGGCCCTCCGTAGGTATATTGGAACAATAGAAGAGTCGGCACTTCTAATACAGGTTTTACGGTAATAAAAGAAGGCTCATCGCTTGAAAAGTAAGCTTAGAACCCTAAATTTATGGATACCTTAAAATTTATGGATACCTTAAAGGATACCCCTTTATGAAAACATTTTTGAATTTTTATAGAACATATGTCTCTCAACCGATTTCGGAGTATTTTTTACACATTTATGAAATTTATGTTTTTCCAGTTTAGAATATTCTAAAAACTATTCCAATAATTTTTTTGAATTTTCAAATTAGTCCTTGAAAGTAGGAAAAAATCCCTATAAAATTCCCATCCAGAAAAGCAATTTCCCCTTCTTGTATTTTAATATTTAGTAATGTTTTTCCAGTTTCGTAAACTCCAAAAACTACCCCAAGAATCATTTGAATTTAAAATCAAAAATTCGAAAAAAAAGAAAGTTAAGCTTAAATTTTTAAAACGTGAAGTATATAATAACCATCGAAACTTCATCTAACGTGCTCCTGATTAGCCTAGTGGTTAACAGGGATGAATTTGAACTGTCGTTGAACTGTCGTTGGTTCGAGTTCTCCCCAGAGCCTAGTGTTTTTTGTCAGACTACAGTAATCGGGGTAAATCGGGAAGAAAATACGGGAAGTGCCCCCTGGTGTGGCGATACGATCGCGTAATTTGTTTTGTTTTCAGAAATCCAACCCCACTCCATCGGAACCATCCAAGCCAGCAGCTGCTGCCAAAGTCAAGAATGCGACGATTTGCGATGATGAGCCAGCCACATCGAAACTTCCTCCACTACCGCCATGTATTGTGATGCCGCCGGATGTGAAGCCAGCACCACCTCCATCATCGCCAGTTGTGAAGTTAGCAGCCCCGCCAGTTCTGGTTGTTAGCCCAGCCCCAGTCACCACGGATCCTTTGACCCCCTACTCACCAGCAACACTGAATTCGACATTGTCGTTCACGGAGAAATGGATGGGAGAGGAGACGGCGAAGATCTGGCTCGAGAAGGTGGACTTCTTGAAGACGAAGCAAGAGTTTGAGCAGATCCAGAACGTGGTGGTGCCAGTGGATGCTTGCAAGAAGTGGAAAGCCAACAGGGCTCTCAACCAACCACCACAGGACGATTTTCCAGTTTTGGACGCGAATCTGGTCGTCTTCGAGAACACATACGTCAACATGTCAGCCATCGATGTCGCCCTTCCAAAATCCAAGATATTCATGTGCCAAATCCCTCTCAAAGGATCGGAGGAGGCATTCTGGAAGACAGCGTTCGACAGGCAGATATCGTACATGGAGATCATCACGGATCAATAATCAATCGAGTTCTTCCCGATTGGAAATGGAGAACACGTGTACCATGGAACGATGTTTGTCAACAATCGACGGGTGGAAGCGGTCAGCGAAGAAATGACGCGTTTTGCGATCGAGGTGTTGCCGGAGGGATGTTCCAACTCCATCATCTGCACCATCACAATAGTCAAGAATTGGTCGCCGGACAGTGTCCATGCAAAACAAGCGGTGGTTATCAAGGAGATTATTGAGATGACAACGTTCTTGACAAAGGTAAAAGGATTGGTGTAGGGTTACTGTAACCAAGGCTATAAGTTCCAGGCAAAGGATGAGAACGCGCTGGTGATGTCAAAGCATGGAGCCGGGCGAGCTGGTTACTTCGTCGCTTTGGCTGTGGTCGTTCACAAGTTGGATAAGGCGACGGAGCCACCGATTCAGGAAATTGTCAAATCGCTTCGAGGACAGAGGCCAAGAGCAGTGGAGTCGTTGACACAGTATGTGTCTCTCTACACGACACTTTTTTATTACATTAAGGTGAGCAATCTGAGATTTGAGAATTCTAAAACCCAGAAATTGTTTTACAGAGAAAAGTTGGCCGAAGCGATGGAGATAAGAAGGCAGCGATGGAGTGTGATGAGCCGACGTGCAAGAAGACGGTTCAACTAACGACTACATTCACGAATGCACTGATCGCAGAAGTCAACGCCGCCGCCGGAAGATCAACGTTGACAGTGACAATCAAGTAGAACTTTAGTGTTGCTTTTGTGTCTTTTGATATTTTATCAGATGAAGAATACATAATTAATTTATGTGTGTGTTTGTGAATACTGTAAAACCTATTAAGTTTGGGCTCAATTATCTCGGCTCCTATAAAAGATATCAAAAATGTGTCAACTGATAAAATGTTTGTGATGCTATGATAAACAATTTATCAGTTATCAACTTTTTTATATCCATCACAGGAACTGTGATAACTTGTCTCAAAGTTAAAAGTTAGAGGGCCTTGAGTGTCAAAAAATCTAGAAAAAAGATCCAAAAGTCTAAAACACCCGATCAAAAAAGTTAAAATTGGTCTCCTACTGATCTGAATCGTTAAAAATTGAATTCAGAAATAAAAACTTCAGAAAGAGTCAGAAAAAGCAACAAGTGTCTTTATTTACCGTATAATCTCTAATAGAGTTCGACCCTGACCGTCAACTTTGAGCCCACTTTTCAATGTTTTTGTTCAAGATATCAAAAAATCTTCACCTAACAGAATGTTTATCATATTATCACAAACATTTTATCAGTTGACCACATTTTGATATCTTTCACAGGAACCGAGAAAAATCCGTTCAAAGTTAGTGGACCAAAAACCAGAACTCAAACTTTAACAAATCACTTGATATGTTGCTCCCAAGAAGCGTTGAGTTGATTGAAATAGAAATCTGTCTCTTGCTGTTGTCCCATTTCTTTTTTCAATAGTTCTTTTTGAGTGGTAACACAACTGACACTCCTTATTATCCTCCAATTAGACAAACGTCTTCTCCATGGATTGACTGATAGAATCAAAACCGGGCAAACGATTAAGGGGTTTCTGAAAATTTGAAGTCCGTCATTTCTTGAACTGGAATATGAAAAACTGACAGGTGAACCAAGTTTTCGAAGCAAAACAGGAGAAACGTTCCACACGATGGAAGCCATTTGTAGTTGAGAAAAACGAGAAAGACGAGAGCTGTGAAGATAAGGAAGAGACCAACAATGAGGATTCGGAATGTCAGCTGGAACTCAACATTGAAAATTGCTCTAATAGAAGCCTACCACAGTACTTTCAGCTTAATTATCTCGGTTCCTATAAGAGATAACAGAAATCTATTAACAAATAAATTATTTATCATAATATCCCCAATATATTATCAGTTGACGAATTTCTGATATCTCTTATAGCAACCGAGATCATTGAGCTCGAAGTGTACGCGGTAACTCAAACTCACATCGAATGCCTTGACATTTTCCTTTGCTTGGAATCTAGCTGGCAAAGTGTACATCTCTATACTTTTCTTTGTGTTTCTTTCAAATCTTCTAATTAAAATTAGATTGTACTGACGATTGGCCCATAGAAGCTGAATGTAGTATTCATAAAAACTATTTGAAAATTGAAAATCAATACCAAAACTGCAAAAGCGTTCAAACTGAAAGTGAACAAGACGCATAGAGAAAAGGCGATTCGATTGAAAAAACAAAACCAGAGCATGACTAAAACCATTCCATGTTGGAACAGGATAAGGAAGATGAAGATGTAGCTGCGAGTGGTTTTCTCGTAGTTTCTGGAAGCACTTTGGGTTACTGTAAATGATCTGGTTAAGCGTAACCCTAAAATTTTGAGCTTAACTTCGAGCTCTATTATCTCGATTTCTATAAGAGATATCAAAAGTCTTTCAACTGTTAAAATGTGAGATATAATAACATCAACATTTTATCAGATGACAAGTTTTTGATATCTCTTATAGGAATCAAGATAAATTAGGTCAAACTTACCATTAATGCTCTGATAGAAAGCCTAGCAAGACAGTCATTCGAAATTACGAAGAGACGCAAACAGTTAGAAAGTCTCGCTGTCTGCGTCTCTCGCTTCCAAAGTTTCGACTACTTGGTGTTTTGCAAAAGTAATTTCAAAATAAATAAGAATCAGAAAGAATCAGGGATCTACCTAATATAGATCTCGAGATATCGCGTTTTGAAATTGTAGAGGTTAGAGACGCAGAGTTATTTCACTTACTGTATAAAATAACTTGCACATGTTCTCTCCAATGCCAGAATAAAGAAACAAGTGATCAAAATGAACATGTAATACCACACCAAAAACCCTCCAAGAAACATACACCAATATTTTCTGATTGTTTGAATTTCAGGCATCTCCGCCACGTCATCCGTCCACCAGAATTGAACTTCACTCGACAGATTTTCGACCTTCCACATTCCAATTAAATATGGAGTTAGCATAATTCTTCCAATCAAACATAATATCCAACTAGAAATTACAGAAGCCACCAAAGAGTTTAAATTCGAATGAAAAGCTTTTGTGTTTGTAACAATGTACACAGAAGATATCGTAAAGATTAAGGCAATTATAGAGAGCACCAATTCGATAATTAATAAAAATTTATAAAAGTTGGAATTGTAGTAACTATAGTCATTTAGTTTGTATACAGGAATCCAGATGGTGTATTCGAGAGTGTTAACGTTGAAAATCATTAGTCAAAAAGTGATGAAATGAGCTGGAAAATTATGTAAGCCAATTTTGCAATGCCAGTTGTTTTCCAGGCGGACAATTAGTATGATGGAAACTTTTCAGCTGCCACAAAAATTATTTAGGATTGTTTTATTGGAGATAGAACTCAAACCTTCATTTTCCAGCTCGATTATCACGATTCCTGTAAAAGATATCTAAAATTGGTCAACTGATCAAATGTTGGTGGCAATATGAAAAATCTTTACTATAAACAATCACTAAATTCTGTGTGTGTGTGTGTGTGTGTGTGTGTGTGTGTGTGTGTGTGTGTGTGTGTGTGTGTGTGTGTGTCCGGTGTTCCCGGGTCACCTGCCCTAGCGAAATACTCATTGGACCAAAATTTTCCAAACTTTCACAGATGACCCAAAATAGCAGCGAGATGATGCCCGACTACTTCTGATTTTTCGAAATTTCGTTTCTAACGTCTTTTGGAGACGTTCTTTTATTTCTAAGAAACAAATCTTTTAAAAATTTTTGAAGCAATATTTACGTAATTCCCGTCTAACCGCCTAACTTTTTTTCTTATCCACGCTATTTCTGAAAAAAAGGTGACTTTGTGAAGACTTTATTTTAGCCTGGGTTTTGAAGATTTGAAAAAGAGAAAAAATTCTGGAACAGGGGAAACAAGATAATGAAAAAAAGAGAGACCTTCTGGATCACTCGAATTTTCAAAATTTTCAGAATTTCTGATTTTTCAACTTTTCAGGTTTCCAAAAAAAAAAAGTTTCGAAGTTTCCGAAATTTATTATTTTCGAACTATTGAATCTAAATTTCTGAAGTTCCAAAGTTCCCAAAACTTTTAAAATTCTTCTAAAATTTTTAAAATTCAGTCATCAGTAGTTTCGAAACTTTAAAAATTGGAAAATCAAATATTCAGGAATTTTTGTGACTTCGGAAACTCGGAAGTTTAGAAATTGAATTGTAAGATACAGTATACGGAAAACAGAAGATTGAGCCCCAGGGGCGACTGATTCCCAAAATTTTGAATATTAGGTTGGCGGGAAAGTCTTTGTCACTTTTTCAATAGTTTATTTCTCAAAGAAAAAATAACCGAATAATTAATTATATTGTCCATCATTATCAACAACATGTCTCCAACGTTCCCTCAATTTATGGATTCCATTGCGGTAGAATCCAGCCGGGCGTGAGGCAAAGTATTGTTTGAGTGCCGCTTCGACCGCTCCACGGGAATTGAAGCTTCTTCCTTCGAAGGCACGTGTCATATCGCCAAATAACCAATAGTCGGAAGGAGCAAGATCAGGAGAATACGGGGGGTGAGGGAGAACATTCCATCCATATCCCATCAGCTCCTGCTTCACTTGTTTCGAAACATGTGGGCGAGCGTTATCATGTTGATAGTACACTTTCTTGTCTTTCATGACCGAACGGTCGACTGCTTTCTTGAGGTTTCGTAGTTGAGTAGTGTAGAGGTCTCCAGTTATTGTTTTGCCCTCGGGCAGAAGTTCCCAGTAGATGGGGCCGTCCACTCCCCACCACACAGAGAGCATAACTTTTTTCGGATGAAGGTCGGGTTTGGGGACATCCTGTGGGCTCTCTCCTTCTCCAACCCACTGGGATTTCCTGTGGTGATTATCGTAGAAGACCCACTTCTCATCTCCGGTTATTAGCCGGTCCAGCCATCGATCGCCCGCGTGGAGAGTGAGAAGAGTAATCGAATCGTCGACTCGGCGGTCAAGGTTGGCTTGAGTCAGGTGATGAGGTATGAATCGACCAAAAAGTTTTCTCATTCCAAGAGACTTCAAACCTTCAAGGACTGTGCTATGGTGAACTCCGAATGTGACAGCTAGTTCACGGCTAGATTGAAATGGATCCGATTGCAATGCGTGCTTCAGCTTGTCCAAATCCAACTCACGGGGTCTCCCAGAGCGATCCTTTTCATCGAGCGAGAAGTCATCTTTTTCGAAACGATGGAACCAATTGCGAATAGTATTGTAGTGAGGGGCATGTGTGTTGTACACATTCTTCAAGAAAGTTTCCGAATCCTTCATCGTGGTGTGAGATAGGAAGAGGTAAATCAAAACATGTCTGATGTGAATAGCAGTGGGAACAAACATATCGTTTCAATTACAGATGAGGAGCAGGGAAGGAGATGGGGACTTGTTTATATGGAAGGTTCTTATCACCTTGTTATTCACTAGAGTCGATATCATACACAGCCTCCATATACGAGAACAGTGATTAAACAAACAGAGTGACAAAGACTTTCCCGCCAACCTAATATCTTGATTTCCGAAAGGATAAACTCCCAAATTACCGCAATTCTGAGTTTCCTAATTGAGGATTTCAGAAACTCTGAATGTCTAAGTTTAGAATTTTCCGATTTTAGACCCGGATGTAAGCGGAGGAAGCTTAGCCCGGAGGCGCGCAAGCCGACATTGGAAAATGTGAAAAAATCAATTGAAACTACTTATATTTCCTCAAGTTTTGAGATTCGAACGTTTTAAGTGTAGCCAGGAGATTGTAGCCGCCGACAGGCGGCGGAAATCGACTGGTAATTTATTAGTTGACAGATTTGGGGTATCTCTGATAGGAATTGAGCTAATTGAGATCAAAGATGACGGTTTGGGCTTCTATTAGAAGAAGTGCGGTAAACGAAAAAAATCAACATAATTCGTCAAAAATCAATCTTGCTCATTGCTCATGTTCTGTTTGACACATCCTTCAACTTCAAAATACTATTGAATCGGCATGCAATTTCATCTGAAAACTGGAAGTTCATAAATCAAAAAAATCAAGACTTTATTAGAAAAAAAGAGATTGTGAAACACCGCAAACACTCTGATAGAACCCTGCACAAAGCGCCAACTCATTTTCTGTAAAAGATATCAAAAAATAATCAACTGACAAAATGTTTTTGATATTGTGATAAACGTTTTATCGGTTGACAAATTTTTAATATCTCTGATAAGAACTGAGATAATTAAGCTCAAAATTTGAATGGCTTTGTATTCGAGTGTTTACGTGTTCATCATTTCTCCCAAACATTTTTCATTGCGAAAAATAAGTTTCCGTTTCCTGTTGAATATTATGAGCAGGCAGAGCTGCTGGCAAATCGATGAATGTGATTTTTGTGAATTTGTCGATCATTGGCAGGCGGGAATGAAGAAGTGCTTTGCTCCAAGTGCTCACGGAGAAAATGAGGACAGGACATATGATGAGAGGGTTTCTGGAAATTGTATTGCTCATTTTTAAAACTAGTACTGTAATTTCAAAAGTTTCACACAGCACTATGAGATTTCCGTTACATTCGAACGACCTCTCAAAAAATGGTAAAATTTTTGCAAAAAATTTTCGGACAAATTTTCGTAATTTTTCTTCTCGTTCTTCGATGCATTTCTAACATGATGGCCTAACTTTTTCAGCGTGATTATTCTATGCCACCGTAGTTGATTCAGAAATAGTCCAACATGCAACTGATGTGTTTTCTAGGTTTTGCAATTTGAATTTTCTAGGCCATCAACTTCAATGAGCTAGAAAATGCCTAATATTCATCTGGTGTGTTTTCTAGGCCATTTACCATGGTGGCCTTTCTTTTTCAAGTTCAGTTTTCTAGGCCACTATGGTTAATGACTTAGAAAAGGCCTGATATTCCTCTGGTGTGTAAAGCTTTTTCGAAGAATTTTTAAACTTTACAAAATTCTGAAGTGGTTTTTTCTCAAATTTTCAAAAATTTCAAATTCAAAACTGAAAAATTGTTTTACAGAAAACGTTAAAAACTCACAAATGCACAATATTATTGAAGCAATATGTCAGAAATGTGTCCCAGCTGGATACACATTTGAAAGTTATCACTATCACCAAAATCAGTGCACTCATGATCATGACAAATCCGCAAACGAATACCCGAACTGTTAGCTGGAAATTCATATTTTTAAAAAAATTTAAAATCGCATTTCTTTTACATTGAAAACCCTCAAATTTTCCTTGGCTTGAAATCTGACCGGTAGTGTATGAAACCTCCCACTTTGCTGTGCCGGCTTCTTTTTGAACTTTCTGATAATTTTCAAATTGTATTGTCGATTTCCATAGAATAATAAAATTGCCATGATATTCAAAAACAACAAAAATGAGACAACTGGAATGAAATGTACTCGATTATAAAATACCAGGTAAATAGTAGTGAGAATTATGAATTGCTGGAATAAAAATAAAAGAAAAAAGAGATAAAGCCTGGAAGTGTTTTCATAGTTCCCAATAAAATAACTTGCACAAATCCTCTCCAGAGACATTATGAACAAACAAGTGGTCATTACAAACATATAATACCAAGTTAAAAATCCTCCAAGAAATAATGGCCACGCCTCCTGGACAGATTTGATTGGGGTCATTTCTGCCATGTCATCAGTCCACCAGGATCGATAATTTGTTGAATTATCATCTACTTTCCATGTTCCAGTTAAATAAGGTGTTGTTAGAGAATTTCCGACTCCAGAAAACATCCAACTAAAAACAAAATAAGCGTAAAGAGAATTCATATTGGTGTGAAACGCTTTTGTGGTTGAGCCCGCATTCCTTAGAAATAATTCGTAGGGTACAAAATACCTGGGAAAATCCGAATTTTGTACCCCCCGAATTGTGGATTTTGTACCCCTAAACTGCTCTGTAACCCTTTCAGACATTATAAACAAAATGTATTATTGAATTCTGTTTTTGTACTCACAACTAAATTGAGAAAACGCTTCAATAATTCCGAAATTACCACTTAATATTTTTTTTTCTATTCTGTAATTTCTTATCATTTTTTCTACTATTAAAACATTTGAATGTTTTGGTCCTGACTCAGATTTAAAAATTAGACCGCAACCTAGATTTCAATTTACATGTCATGATCTAGATTTCAATTTTCATGACATAACCCAGATTTAACTTTTAGGTTGTGGCCCAGATCCCCATTTTTATGTCATGACCTTTACTTCCAAATTAGGTCCCAACCTAGATTCCAATTTTTGTGTCATTACCTAAATTCGATCTAGATTCTAAATTCTAGGTAAATTACTACATTTATCAGATTTCAAAGTTTTTTTTTTCGAAAACTTTGGTTTCTAAAAGATGCATCTCCAAAATAGTGAAGGTCCAATTGACAGGTGGTGCCAGTCAAATAGTTTTCGAGAAGCCCATGCTAAATCAGTTCATTTTACGTCATTCTGTGTCACCTTTTCTTTCCGAATCCTCTAATATTTCATCTCAAACTGGCAGGTGATTTATTCCATATTTTCAGCCATCATCCGACATCTTCCATCATTTTTAGTTTGAGTCCCCCCTCCCCCCATCCCATTCAAAATGATATTCTCAGTGAACAATGGCGAATACACCATCTGGATTCCAATTTATACCCTTGATGACGATTCTTATGACACATATTTCTATCGAGGTCTTTTGATTATCGAGCTCATTTTATCGATTTTCGCATTCTTGTTCATTGCAACATCTGGATACATTATAATAACCACAAAAGCGTTTCACACCAATATGAATTCTCTTTACGCTTATTTTGTTTTTAGTTGGATGTTTTCTGGAGTCGGAAATTCTCTAACAACACCTTATTTAACTGGAACATGGAAAGTAGATGATAATTCAACAAATTATCGATCCTGGTGGACTGATGACATGGCAGAAATGACCCCAATCAAATCTGTCCAGGAGGCGTGGCCATTATTTCTTGGAGGATTTTTAACTTGGTATTATATGTTTGTAATGACCACTTGTTTGTTCATAATGTCTCTGGAGAGGATTTGTGCAAGTTATTTTATTGGGAACTATGAAAACACTTCCAGGCTTTATCTCTTTTTTCTTTTATTTTTATTCCAGCAATTCATAATTCTCACTACTATTTACCTGGTATTTTATAATCGAGTACATTTCATTCCAGTTGTCTCATTTTTGTTGTTTTTGATATCATGGCAATTTTATTATTCTATGGAAATCGACAATA